TGCCATCCATTAGTATTTCGAACAAAGAGGTGGTACTGGTCGCTCAAATTTGGATTTTTTTCAGAATTACTAAAAGCCATGATCTGTTAAGTTGCTAAGGTCAATTGTAAATCTCTTGATTGTAGGTGGTGGTGGTGGCGGCTTTTACAGTAATGGAGAAGACTCAGAGATTTCTGGTGGAGGGGGAAAGGGAGGTAAAGGATTTCTAACCGGGGGAGAGGGGGGAGTTATTCGGGGTGGGTTCGGAGGTGGGGGTGGATATCGTGAATTCCATGAGTTACCTGGGGGAGGGGGAGGGTATTCTGGGGGAAGTGGAGGTGCGAATAAAAATATTTCCTGTGGGGGAGGGGGAGGTTCTTTCAACAACGGAACAAATCAGCAAAATGAATGTTGTTATAATACTGCTGGACATGGTAAAGTGATCATAACATTTCTTCACTGAAATGCATGGCAGCACTTTTCTTAGCTTGTAGTGGTAATTCTGTTTTGAAGCACTAATTGATGTTTGTTTTTAAACTCAACAGTTTAACTTTTTTAGGTCCTTATTTAGATTTTGTTATTAAGCCGTGTTTAGGTTGAGGGTAGAATTAAAATTCACGAACAGAATTTGCTAGAATAGGTGTGTTCGTGAGTTTTTACTGACTTTTTAAATTTGTCGACAGCAAAAGCTGTAATTTTTGTTCTTTTTCTAGCTCTTTTCGGAGCAATAAATCAGAAGATGTTTTGGACTGTTCATACAGTTCTGTATTCATCACTTAAGTTCAGTGGACTCAATTTTAGGCAAAGTTTAGGGCTTGAGACGAATTATAAATTTTTTGGCTATGGACAAAGTTGCTTATCTGATTGTAAACAATTTGAGATCAACGTAAGAACACGTTGCACTTCAAGAAATAGTGGCTTCTCAAAATCTACATGTAGAGATTAGAGGAGGTTCACTCCCAGAGGTTCACTCCCAGAGGTTCACTCCTTGAGGTTCACTCCCAGAGGTTCACTCCCAGAGGTTCACTCCCAGAGGTTCACTCCCAGAGGTTCACTCCCAGAGGTTCACTCCCAGAGGTTCACTCCCAGAGGTTCACTCCCAGAGGTTCACTCCTAGAGGTTCACTCCCAAAGGTTCACTCCCAGAGGTTCACTCCCAGAGGTTCACTCCCAGAGGTTCACTCCCAGAGGTTTAATTAAACATGGCTTGTACGTTCTTAGTTGTATGATGCACGAATATTTAGGTGAGAGAAAACAGTGAACAACAAATTATCCCAGCTCTTTATTCACACAAATTCTTCCACGTTAAAAGCATACAATATTGGGGTGAGGCAAGATGATAGTTTATAATCGCCAGGGTGAGGAGAATGTTAGCCACAAATTACTTCCGCTCATAGAATAAAGAAGATACAAATGCCAGAATTGTTTAGATTTTAAATAGCGGGCATGGTGGGAAGTTTGTGATAATTAGTCAATTAATAACATATGGGTAATAGAGACTAAGTAATAATTTTGTAGGGAAACAGTTGTGAAGTCAGCCCTTTATATCCTTATGTATCTAATTTCGATGAAAACATAGTTAACAATGTAAAGGTCCATTATGCAGTCAATCATTTTTTTTTTCTGGATCAGCTCAAAACCAAAATCGATTTTCACTGATGATACAGCCCGTGTGACTCTGCTTCTTCAACTTTTTTTTCCCGTTGACCTTTTAAATTTTGTTGCGCATGACACTGACTTTGGGCGATGGCGCATTCAATGTTACTCAAAACTTTATTTACTTGTAATATTTTTGTTTTATGCTAACATCTGGAATATCTTTTCAGGAGGCTCTTGTGCTCTTTCACTAAAAGTGGAGTAAAGCGCTGTAATTTTCACGTAGTTGGAAATAACGGTTCGGCTTAATAACAAAACTTAATTAATAATAAAGTTTATTGAGGACATTGTTTGCTAGTTGATTGACTTAAAGTTCCTAGTTTCTGGTGAAACTCAATAAACTGATATCTGGCTGTCAGTATTTCATTCGTGTTTGTTAGTTAAACCTAAATTATTAAGTCACATCAACTGAGAGTAAGGTAAATTTGCGAAAGAACGAAAAAGTATCCATGTATCTTACAGGAAAAAAGTTCGTGAATCCCCCAACTTTACTTATCATTTTACTTGTCTTTGTTGTCTTTTTCGCAAAACACGAAGACCAGCCTTGACTGAAGGTCTTTGCAGGGTAATCGAAAATTGTATGATGCATGAATATTTGGGTGGAAAAACAGTGAACAACAAATTATTTTCTGCGACAGCCTTGTATAGAAGGACATTCCTAAAGACGGCTATAAAAAGCGATGCGAATTGTTTGAAGATTTCCAACGCTGTTTCTGGTTGGACTTCTGATTGAGCAATCGGAAGATATTAACTGAATAATTCACGCGCACTTTTCATAAGACATTAGTCGCTCATTATAAGTGTCTCTTTTACTGAACTTAACTTTAACGGAATACAACGAAGGTACAATTAAGTACAAAGTAAAATTCGCTGAAATGGTTGTGAGTTGCCATATAAAACTCATCCTTGTAGATACGGCTAATTATTCACTGGCACAAAATGAAAACAATTGAATCGAGACAGTTGCGATATGGTGACAACTTCCATGCAGCAGAAACGATGAATGCTTTACCATGAAAATTTCACATGTAGTGAAATATGACGTGAAGTGAAGCCTGGACGGGGCTCTTCATCCGATAAAATCAAAATTCAATTTCTAATAACGCATAATTCTTCAGATAAATAAATGGGTTAGTTTCCAAAGAAACTGGTGTTGCGTCGGTGGGAGATTATAACAGGGTAATTTGGTATTATCAACCGAGTTGATAACGTGAATTGGCCACCGTAAAAAGTTAAAAAGCTGACGTTTCGAGCGTTAATCCTTCGTCAGAGCGAGTGGATGAACTGTGGGTTGTGTGTTTTTATATGCAGAAAATTGAGCTACGCTATTGGTGGGAATATGGTGACAAGAAGACAAGAATAAATTAGTTGAATGAAAGGCGCTCGCCTAGATGTAGGGAAAGGCTCCAAACTGCCATATGCTGCTTAGAATGATTAGGGGGATTAAAGTGTGACTGGTTTGAATACGTCCTTGTCATTTCTTTAAATTTCTGTTCCAAATGTATTGAAATGAATGCGATCTATTTCGACGTTTTGAAGCTTTGTTTTTAAAAAACCAGCCACTGCAAAACCTATTTTAATCAGCGCTTGTATTGATCATTTCCATGCGGTTTTCCTATTCCGGTTACAGGCCCCCTCGGACATAAGCCCCTCCGTCTCTAAACCCCGGCTTCTAAAACCCCTTACGAAGTTGTACAAGCCTCAGGGCTTATAAGCAGCAGTTTACGGTAAAGGGCAATTAACTTCCTGATTTATTCAGACAGAACGCCATTAATACGCATTAAGTATAATCAAGTTTCACCAACCCACAAGATCCCAGAGGAACTAATTAATTCAGCTATGACAACTACTGACAACCACATAAATAAACAAAGAAGGTGCCCCAATTGAACGCAGATTAAAATTCAGCTCTCTTTGTTGCCTGATTTTGCCCTTAAAAGTGTGAAACTTACAGTAGCTATTCGCTGGGATTATAACGGCTGTTTTTTTTCGAACAACATGTTCACTGTATTCAACTACTTTATTCTCGCCGTTTTGTTTTCCCTAATACCAGAAGGACGAGGTGAGATTTTCCTACAGTTATATCCTAGTTATGTCTGAGTAATATTTCAAAGTTTACCAAGGCGATACATTACTTTTTGGTCATCTTTATTGACATAACCAAGACTTAAAATATTCGCACAAGTTTCTCAGCTTCCTCTGGAATTGAATATAGCATATTATTTCATTTAAATACATAGTTACCTGGATTGGCATACGATAACCTACGTATTTAGAAAGAAGTTTGTACATTTTTGGAGTTATTTAGTAACACAGATTTTGGATAGAACAAGTTTACAAACGAATCAAATTTTATGAAACGTTTTTTTGGAGTAAGCAAAAGCGAAAGTTTACTTCAGAAATACAAAAATACAGTCACTTTCTCTACCGAGAAGTCGGTGAACGTGTGCGAATTTTTTGACATGTTCGATTATACGCGATGGATGGGTTTGACTACTGACATATGCTCGTTTTTATTTAAAGTTGAGAGTCTACTAAATCGGCGCGACTTGTTTTAATGAAAAGTTTACACACCATTGAGACTTTTCAACTCTTGTAATGAAATCTTGTTATTCGTCATAACGAGACAAAGTATGCTGTTTTCTCAAAATTTACATGAAAATTAAAAAAAAATAAAAAAAAAACCAACCGGTCTGGCTTTTTTGTACAATTTGGCTCTTGAGTTGATCTAAAGGTTGGTTCACAAAATCTGCACGGAGGACTAAAATTTGTGTATTCTTGAGAGTTGGTCGAACTAAGGCATAAGTTATTAATGATCCACCGCTGAAACGATGTTCTAACCAAACAGGTGATTCCGATAGAAAAATTTGTTCAATAAATTGTTCTCAGTCTTGGTTCATCAAAACGAAGATTGTTGACTTTCGGTCCTGTAGGCAACATGATAAATCTTTTAGTTAACAAATACTGCTTTTAAGTTCTTCTAGTGAACGAAAAAAATGACAGAGACTACATTTGACATTTTAAGATTTGTCGTACCTGTTATACTCAATTACCTCCTTATGATATGCATGCTCGAGGCTAACTTTCTGCGTGTAGCCTCCTGGTGAGTGTTGACACTGGATACAAAACTCATTTTCATTTTATATTTAGAGGTAAAAAGTAAGAACTACATAGAGCTTTCTAACTTAATAGATTTTTCTCTCCAGGTAACTGCCGCAATTTAAAGTTTACCAATTTTCATAAATCTGACTACCGGTTGGAGAATCACACGGTTCGAACTATTGAAGTTGCCGACGAGGGTCTCTGCATGTTACAATGCTACCTGGAACCTAACTGCGTTAGTTATAACTTCTGTAAGATAAAACAGGCGTCTGGAAAACACAAGTGTGATCTGAATAGTGCGACTATTGAACACGATGAAGACCTGGTTAAATACGAAAGTTGTATTTACCGCGAAGCTGAGGTGAGAATGAAGTTACTAAGCCAAGAGCGTGATATTCTCCGCTCAGTTCGTTACAAGACTAAGAATCCTTTGAGCTCTTACTCCACTCCTCTTTTGATTTCTTCCTCCAACCGCCCAAATTAAGGGTATAATAATTGCATGATTAAAATGTTGAAATAAAGAATTGGAAGAAGAATATATTTTATTAAAATTCAAAATGACCTCCTCTAGAGCTATTTTGATAAATTTTGAAGATTCACGCAGATTTTTCACTCGCTCTGAACATGGAACGAGAACAACATGACCTGTGTTCAACGCGAACATTTGCGTGAATAACCAACAAGCTTGCGTGGAACACAGCCACGTGATGAGTAACAAAAGTACACGCAAGGAATATGATGGAAACACGTAGATTTGACAAACTTGCATAGCATTCAGAACTTGCAAACACGAATGCACGCGCAGGACATCAATATCCCTGCTAACTCGCAGAAGATAAAGACGAATATTAACAAACACCGGTTCTCTTTCTTCTCAAGAATGCTTGCGCCAAAAATTCTTGCAAGAATAATGCAACATGCCAAGCTGGGTTTACAGACAGAGATTATCAGTGTTTGTGTGCTCTTGGATCTGGATTTGAAGGTCATAACTGTGATGAGGGTAAGGAATCCGCTACAGTTTTTTCAAGTTGAACAGAAGACAAATGCGTGACCAATTTCCTTCGCTAAAAACGTTTGCTTCAGGCTGAGAGTAACTGATGCATTTCATGATTCTAATAAATTGCCTAAATTACTTTGGTAGTGTTGGAAGAAAATATTACTATTTTAACTCTTTATTTCCTGGCAGAGATCATTTGGTAAACTCCTTTCACAAATATAACACACACTTAAATAGGAAGGTAATGAGAATCTAGAAAATTATTAAGCAGAGAATTGGATGTAAGACCAAATTCATAGAACTAATCAACAGAGAATCGTTTTATCATCTGTTAAGACCATTAACTTTTACATTTTGGCCGTCAAAGGGTTGCCCTACTCACTGATAATCTTTTTTCAACTCCTAGTGTGAAATGGAGTGAAAAAGACCTTCCACGAACGACTACCTAGCCCTTTAGGACGACCAGTTTGTTTGTCACTCTTAATTTAACTCTTTATGACGGCCACCTGTCTTACGCTAGCGGCCAAAGTGGCGCGTTTTTAACACAACCACAAAATATTTGAGCAGCAGAGCGATATAAAATGAACCATATTTTACTCACGCTCGCTTTGCTGTCCTAGATATAGACGAGTGTACCAATGGAACGCACAAATGTGATATGAATGCTGACTGTCACAACACCCTGGGATCTTACAAATGTACTTGTAAAGACGGATTTCAAGGAAACGGTACAGACTGTACTCAGAGTAAGTATTTGTCATTCTTTCCATGTCTGGCTTTTAGTATTTATTTATTTATTTTTCTATTTACTTTGTAAGATCAAAATTTTTGGTTTTTGTGGTGTTGTGTCGGTGGGGGGGCGGTGTGTAATAAGAAAATTTGAGTTATCAACTGACTTGATGATATAAATTGATCACTAAAAAGAGTTTCTTGAGCGTTAGCCCTTCGTCATAGCGAATGGAGGAATTGTGGGTTGTATGTGTGTGTGTGTTGATATGCAGAAAATTAGCTGCACTACCAGTAAGAACATGGTTAAGAGAGCAACAAGAAAAGCGATTCGTTGATACCGTGGGGATTAATAATGTCGCTGAATTGAAAGATAAATTTTTGTTCTAGACTTTTGTAGCTTTCTGAACCGCCTAGATGTAAGATAAGGCCACAGACTGCCATATGCTGCTTAGAATTATTTGGGAGATTGAAGTGTCAAGCAACTAGTTGGGATGCTTCGTTTTCATTCCTTTCTACGTAATGAGGGTATTCTCGAATCGCTTCCGATACACAGGGTCATCCTTAACCCCAAGGAGCGTTCTTTATGTTTTCCATTCTTTCCAAATTTCGAAAAAAGCGCCGCACGGTAATCGAGCACAATCACGGCTTATTCGTCCACCTCTGACTCTTACAATTTAGCTTTCACTGGTTCGTATGTGATGTAGTCATTAGTGGAAACTGAAAAAATAAAAACCTTAGTATTCTTGCAGGAATCAAGACATTTTGAAGATCTCTTTGACTCTGTTACTAGAATTTCATTGATACCTTTTTTTTCCTTTTCTAATCCCGCATAATTTGCAGAGAAACTTTTTCAAGCATAGTGGTTGGCAATATTCAGAATACTAAAGAACACGGTGACATTTTCATACTCGTGCGATAATTTTCAGTATTATTCGGTTCATTTCACAGGATTTAATACAGCTGTGTTTACAAATCTTGGTAAGAGCGACTCTCAGGGTCCAGACTCAGTTGGCAGTCACTACACAGGTCAGGATCATAACGGACAAGTTACAGTGTCCAGCGGTATTCAGCTGTGGAATGTGCCACACACAGGGGAATACAGAATAGAAGCAGTAGGAGCCTCAGGGGGGTACGGCCAGAACAGTGTCATCAACGGAGGGAGAGGGGCGCGGATGATTGGAAACTTTATGTTGACCAAAGATGAGATCATTAGTATACTCGTTGGTCAAAAAGGAATCAGAGGGGGTGTCAACAAAAACACTGGGGGAGGTGGTGGAGGTACATTTGTAGTGAGAGGAAACAACATTCCCTTGATCATAGCTGGAGGTGGAGGGGGAATTAAAAATATGTCGGAACAACATCCAGGATGTGATGCGTCCATAAACACAACAGGGAACGCAGGGAGCAACTCGCCATTGGGATCAGGAGGAAGCAACGGACATGGAGGAAATGCCAATGGTCAATCTCCAGGTATGCAGAGAAATTAGACAAACCCATCAGTATGAACAATTCATTAGGACAGTAAAACAATTGTAAAATTAATCAGAACCCTAATTAATGGAATAATTAATTCTAACTTGGAAGTTTTTCTTTTCTTCTTAATAACATCTCTGGAGGGGCATCCAGTAATATCTTCAGTGTAAACGAATCTCGCTCGTTCAGTTTTCAAACCTCCTGCACATTATTAACTGTTCACTATCGAACTGTGATTTTGTGAAGCTAACCAGGCTTCTCATGCGCTGATTGCATAGCTGGATAAAAGAAAAGCGCTGAATTTTTAACGTTGACTTGTCGTCATAACCCTTTTTATAATTGACAAGATCTAATAATGTTTTCAAAGTAAACTTCCGACTTTAAATTATGAAGTATACTTGGTTGGAAAAAAATTGCGAATTATTGTCTAATCGCTTTTCAGTTAATGATTAAAAAGTTGCTTTACATAAGAGAACACTGATCATTTTTTTACATTACTGAAGGTGGTGGTGGCGGCGGCTTTTACGGTAATGGACAAGGTGCTTCGAGCGGTTCTGGTCGAGGAGGTAAAGGATATCTTCAGGGAGGAAGGGGTGGACATGCCAGGGGTGGGTTCGGAGGTGGTGGTGGTTTTCGTTCAGGCAACCGTGGAGCTGGAGGAGGTGGAGGTTACTCTGGGGGAAATGGTGCAGCTGATGAACAGTTTTCCTGTGGGGGAGGAGGTGGATCTTTTAACAATGGAACAAATCAGCAAAATGAATGTTGTTTAAATAGCAATAAGCATGGCAGAGTGATCATCACGTTTCTTCAGTGAAATGGAAATAGCAGCACTTTCCTTAACATGTAGTGGACATTATTGTGGGTGAGCGCCATTTTAGCCGCAAGTAACTTTCGCTTTTTATTATGAATTGACATAGTGTCAGTACAGCTTTCAAGATTTTTATTCCTTAGCAGGAAATTAGGACTAGTATACAAGTATCTTTATAAAGAAACTGTTAAGTCAATTATTTATTTTCTTTTGTATTTAGTTTATTACATATATTTCGTAATGTTTTTCAGCTGACTGTGAAATCAATTTTCAATTTTCATAATATATGACCAGTTAGACTCAAGCAAGAAATTAGGACTAGTATGTAAGTGTCTTTATAAAGAAACTGTAAAGTCAATTATTTATTTTCTTTTGTATTTAGTTTATTACATATATTTAATAATGGTTTTCAGCTGACTGTGAAATCGATTTTCAATTTTCATGATATATGACCAGTTTGAGTCATCTGAATTTTCCCAGATTGTATTTTGTCGCATAACACAGATTACACTTTTGCTTCCATTAGCACCGGCGACAAATTCTCCTCCAAAAGGATGTTTAAATTTGTGATACGTATGGTGTCTTTTGGTTAGTGTCAACAGAAATATTTTGGTTTTGGTTTTACGCTTCGTAGTCAATTGAAAAGCGTTCGGCTTCACCTCAAGCGGTATTCTGCGAAATAAAAAACTCCGGGAGCATTGATATCAACTTTTTGATGTGGCCGTTGTTAGTGTTGTGTTCCCAGATGTTGATTTATGCAGTTTTTAAAACAAATCACTTCGGATCTGGTTCCTTCTTCATTACGCAGAGGACAAGAACGGTTATATTTACCAAGGTGATGGCAAGTTGACGCAAAACCTTATCTTTATTTCTGTCAACATCTAGCCTAATAACTTTACAGCAGGCCATCGTCCTCTTTCACTTAAAGTGGAAGAGGACGACATGATTTAAATACAAAAATAACTTTAATAAATGTTTCATAACAACTAAAACACAAATATCTTGGAAATGTTCATCGCCACTAAATACAGAAAAACTTATGGCGGCCTTTACCCAGATCAGCATAGTTTCAACCTTCAACTCTGTTTGTCAGCGATAAACAACATTAAGAATGGACGGTAAGCCTCGTTAATATTCTATTTTCAATAGGATTGTTTCAGTTCTCTGATTTGCTCTGGAAAATGTGGATACGCGATATGTACATTGTTCATTCTAATTGTATTTCATAACTTTTAATACTGAGATATTCTGAAATCTTGAATTTGCGCACTGACTTGTAGGAAACAACTGATGAATAATGGCAGACCACACGAGGAAAAAATCTAGACAAGTTGATATTTTTGTCTCAGTGCTTGCACCAAATTTCCTTAACCTCCATTCCTTTCTTGGCCAAAATCAGGGGAGGATTGGGATGTATTGAACATGACGTAATTATTTAGCTGTGCTTTTGCTGACGTTTTTTTTTTCTTAAAAATACAGGAGAATACAAGGTGACGTTATTGGTATACAGCGGCCTTCATGATCCTGTTTGGTCGATTCATCCTCGTAATGAGAAACTTAAGGAAATAAAAGAGCTTCTCGAGGACGCCAGAGTCAGAGGTATCGCCCACCGTCACGAACATGCTCCTGCCATTCTCGGATACAGGGGTTTCCTTTTACATCACCGACAAGCCGAGCATGCAGACTTGATTCTAGGCAGGGAGAAGACCGCCCTTTAAAAGCTGCTGCTTGGCACCATGCCGGAAGGAACGATACATCATACATTGCACCGGAAAATATCGAAGTCATCGATTCAGGAACTGTTTTTCCTAATTTGGACGCGCCGAGTTCGTAAGTTCTCAGTGTGCTACTCAGTTTATTACAAACCAAAGTTGCAGCTTCTCAGAGTGCACATGACGTTCCCATAATACTGTGACATCGCCGTCTTGATATAGAAAATACTCATACTGAGAGACCGAGAGAGTGCAACGAGTCTCAACCACAAGTGGCACAACTTTGAATGCGATCTACCTTTTTACACTTTTTAGACAATTTATGATGAAAATGCCTCAAAAATTGCTCTGAATGAACGCATAGAAAATAGACTAAATGAACATGTTTACATGACCGGTTTGCCTCGAGTCAATTTGGTAACTCTGTGAATTGGTTTGAAGCCATTAAACGCCTCAGAGTTTTTATGTTTCCTTGTCATCAGTGTGGATCAAAAGGCAGGATAGATGACTTAGTCGGCCGATAGTTCGCACTCAAAGCCCCATGGACTCGTAAAAATAATTTTCCACTGTCCTGATAACTTTACTAATTCAAAAACATTGGCACACTTATTCACTATTAAGTTACTCGCTATTGTTATTTCAAACTATTATTTCTATCCATGCTAGGACTAATGTTATATCAAATATTTTCCCTTTAAATGTAATAGAAGTTAAGTTTGAGTTATGGTTAGTTTCGAGCTAATAATACACAGTGAAATGTATTATCGTTTAATACAGTAGGTCCTGTTAAATAATTCTAATAACTGAACGAATGTGAAAACAGGAGAATAAAAGGGGGGAAGTTTCTGAAAAAAACTGTGGTGCTGTGTTGGTGGGAGGGTATAACAAGGTAATTTGGTATTATCAGCTGAGTTGAATAACGTAAATTGGCCACCGTAAAGAGTTTTAAAGCTAACGTTTCGAGCGTCAGCCCTTCATCATAGCGAAACATATGAAAACAGATGCTGGAAGCCATAGTTTTTGGGTGTGATAAACTGAAACAGCACCAGATTTTTCCCAAAGATTTGGCTGCAGCATCTACGTGTCCTTTCCCTTTTTTTAGCACCCTCTCGTGAGGCAACTGAATTCCCATAATTGTGTTCAATAGGTTCCCTTAAGGTCGATTCTCTTCAATTGGCGTCACGCAAGAACTAAGATCAAGAAAGCAGAAGTCGCACACTTCGTGCCTTTTCGGAGGGAAAAATGCTCTTTTTATGATTATTTACAACACAGGCATTGGTACACAGCTTCTTTCAAACGTTTTCGAGGGGATCAACGTACTTTTATTTCTCTGAGTCTCTTTTTTGCCTAAAGTATGTAGCAAACACCTATCGGTATTTCAAACACAAAATTTCTCGTTGTACACCCGTACTGCACACCTTACAAACTGACACGTCAAACACACCGTCCATTAAAACTAACTTCTCAAAACTCCTTGTCCCTCCACCGACACCAAAATAATATGTTTTGGCTGCTACATAGGCAAGGCCGTCAGGTTTCTTTAGGTGTCTCTTAATGAACTGGTACAACTTGTCATGTGATTCCACAGCGTAAATTGTCTCAGCAGTTAGGATAACATCATATAGCATCTCCGAGGCTAGTTGTGGGTTAATGAAACCTAACAAATTTCCCCAGTCACCTGAATAAAAACGGCAACTTCGACGCGCTGTTTCGAGGAGGTCGAAATTAGTTGCTGTTGCTTTCAATTCACAGCGTTCACTTTTCAGTCGCTGCTGAAGATTCAGCAATACATTAGGAATCGTCACATGCTCAATAACATCGTCGTTGTAGTCTTGAAAATGAACTTGAGCTCCTTGCAGAAGAGCATATATTCCCGGTAGCCCTGCTCCACATCCAACTTCCAATACTCGCTTTCCTTGAAAACTGATTCCGCTTTCCAACAAATACTCCACCAAATCAACACTACATTCCCAAATTTTAAGCCCTCCTTCGTAAACCGAAGGAATCAGGTCCGAGCTCCTTTCAGTCGCCGTTTTTATAACTGCACTATTCGTTAGATTTTCATCCACACATGTCTCGCTCAAGTGTTTAAGGCTAAAGGTACCACCTCTAAGGCAAATTTCGTCCATTGCAGAATCCGAATACGCTGGAGTACTGGACGCTATTTGAATTTCTTTTGCTTCATAAGTAGTTTTGAGTTCTGGTGAAACGTCCTCACCGTCTCCAGACGCAGAAACAGTCGCATTTTCGTCAATATCTGCGGATCCAAAATTAAATTTGAAGTCCGCCATGATGCATAGACCTTAGTAACCACTCCTTCTGAGGAAGGCCTGGTGTTTATGACTGGGGAAACTGATTTCCACGTTTTTCATGTGTACATATCTAGTCCTTACATTGATCGGGGGTTACTTTCCTCCAATCAAACTTCAAGCATCTTGAGAGACGCCTCACGATGAATCCCAGTCAGAGTGGTATAATTGTTTTTTCACTTAACTCTAACAAAGACTTGTCTGAGAAAATCGCCAGGTAAGCTTAAGGAATTATCAAATATTTCTTTTGTTTGCTTGTTTTGTTTATCCTTTCAGTGACAATCTGATATTTTTTGGTAGCTTTGAGATGCATCCAGCGGAATATTCAAATTTTAAGGTTCATCTGAAGCTGTGTTCACTATTTTGTTTTTCTCAGGAAATTGGGAATTGAGTTGGCCGCGTGCAGTGTTGGGAAATTTCAGAATCAAGGTGATTGACATCCCAATTATCTCAGATATTGGTCACTCCTTGAAAACAACTTAACAACAAAATTTTGCTGGAGTCATTTTTAACAACACTTTCCAATTGAACCACTCTTTAAAGTAAAATACTTGCCAATAGTTGGCAAATGTTTGTTTCCCCACAAACTGACATCATGGTATTGCTCACTTGTCGATGCTGTAGGAACTGCAGAATTTGGTGACATTCTCCCTAGGCTTGATCGTTTAGGCTACCGCTACAAATCAACATATTTAGATCAAATAAATTCTCTGCAAAGAAACTTCTAATCTGTGTTTGGTGCTGTTCTCCAGTTGATGTCATAAAACTCAGTCCATTTGGTTTCTTTTACTGGTCAAGACACAAGTTACTGGGTTTTTGGTGTTGACATATTCCCCTAAAATTAAACCAACATCCAAACACATAAACAATCCATTTTTAAATTTGCTGATACATTTTGAAATTTGCTGGCACACTTAAGATGAAAACATGCATTGAATCACTACAAAACAAACAATGGGCCAAATTTTCAATATACAAAATTCTCTGTCAGTTATTGAATTGGTCCTTACCGACAGAGGAAATCTTTCAGGTACATGGCCAAAATCAGCCTGTGACAAATCTTCCAGTTGTAGATTTTTGTTCTCAGCTGTGAGAAATGCCATTACCAAAGCCACTGAACACATAACTTTTGGTTTTTCTTTTGTATTTTGGTTTTCCTCCCCTTCTAGGAAAGTTTCAACATCACTGTCTGTAAGCAATAAGGAATTTTTAAGTGTGTTAGCAGCCATAATCCAAAAAAATTCCAACAAACGATCTTGCTGTTCATTCATCAACCTGACCAAGTGACAGGAAAGGGCGAGTGATGTGTTAGCAGCTGATTTGTCATATCAAACACATGAAAAGGATATTGTATTTTTTCACATGTGTTGTCACAGCTTCTTTCAGGGCTGGAAATCCTTGTATACACTGTAGTTTATATGATAAATTAAATTTTTTTTGCTTGTTTTAAACTTCTTTTGTAGAAACTTCTGTTAAGATAGGAATCTCAGTTCGTGGTAAAGATGTGTACATTATACAGTCAGGATTGGGGTAAGAATATTTAACAATTGGTTCATACATCAGCATGCGTTCATCAAGATATGAAAATACACGGGAAGTTTGGAGAGCATGAAAGATGCATAAGAATTGCTCTCGGGAGCAACTCTAGCTTCTTGAGTGCTCTCCAAACTTCCCAAGTGCTTCATATCTCGATGAACGTGCAGCTGACGTATGAACCAATTGTTTTATAACATTTTCAACCCGATGGAAAATTTTTTTCTGAAGGGATATGTTTGCTGACATCATGAGCGTGCACAATAGGAATATGAAGCATGCCTGCGCAATTGAATTTGATGAGACAAATTTACTAGCTATAAGTTTTAATGTTCAGTATTAATGTTCTTATAATAAGTAATAAACTTTGAACCAAAGTAAGGTGAAGACTGCACTCTTGAAAAGGGTTAACCTCTCAACATGTTATTTCCAGTTTGGCACTTACATTTGTTTGTCTTACATGTTCCTTAGCCATCACAAATTAGATAATTTTCTGCCTACTATGTGCATTTCTCCTTCTCAATTTTGATGGCCTTTGCTAGTTTAATTCTGACATAGAGAATATTCTCCTGTCAGCTTTAGTACTATTCTCCTGCTCATCCTTGAAGAAAACAATGTTTATTTATATTTTCAGTGAGAGTCTTGATGTTAATGATGCATTGATGGAGCTGTTTATTGTTGCATATGCCTGTAGGACTGCTTGTGCAAAGCGTATCATTGGTAAGGAATATATACAGCATTCACTTATATAAATGTGATATATATTTTTTTAATTTAGTCGGAGTCAAGAAAATGAATTTCAGATTAAATGAATTCAAAGCTTGTCACTCTGTATAGTGAATATAATATGGGTAATGTGTTGTACCCGCAGGAGTCATTCCATACCTGCCATATTCCAAGCAGGCAAAAATGAACAAACGAGGGTCAATTCCTTCTAAACTGGTGGCTTCTCTTATGTGCAGAGCAGGTATCGGTAATTTATGCTTATTTATTCAGTGTTCCTTGACAAATACATTATGAGTTTAAGGTTGCTGTGAAAGTACAGAGAAAGTGAACCTACCTTTTGAAATCAAACTTACCAGCTGAGCACTTTTCAGTGAATAATTTTGTGATAACTCTGTTAGACTTGATATCAGACCAGACCAATTTTTTGTTTTTAATAATAAATTTCATCAGAAATTAGAATTTAAAGTGACTTCTTAGCAGTTGACATCTAGGCCTATTCACATGCTATCAGTTAAAAATGATTTGTCTTTTACCTTAGAACACTGATAGATTTTTGCAGTACCCATGTGTGAACTAGTTTGATTCTACAATTCAAACTTCCTACTTTAATTAAGGGGCAGCTTTTAACCCTGTCAAGTGCCATTCTGTTAGATTCTAGGGTATGACAACTCTCTCTCAGTGCATCACGCAAGCCACTTAGGAGTGCAATATTAGTTGAAAACTTGAAAAAAAATAAGAAGAGGGAGGCATAGCCCAAAATAAAACTAAGTCAGGGGGAGTGGCAACAACCCTTTTTGCTGATCCTATACAAACTGCCTTAGTGCAGTGGCATCAGGTCAGATCAGGATCAATATCGGTATCTGGGCAACTGCCCACCTACCCCTCCCCTAACTAAACTTTAACCCTTTAAGCTTGTTATCAATGGATTGTTGTTGGGTTAGGGGAGGGGTAGGTGGGCAGTTGTCCAGATACTGATATTGATCTGTTTACCTTATCTCTCTTACTCCACAGGACTCACAAACATCATCACAGTTGATCTTCATGCTAAGGAGATTCAGGGGTTTTATGATGCTCCAGTTGACAATTTGAGGGCTTCACCATTTCTAGTTCAATATATCACAGAAAAGGTACTTAGAATACCATTGAATAACTGGTGGAAAGTTAATTTCCTGTTCATAATTGATGTACTACATGCCTTAGGGTGAGAAATACCCAAAATTTCAATCACAATTGTCTTATGAATTAATTTTCAGTTGTTTATGATGATAATAAAGACATAGAATTTATTTTCAATTTTGAACCTATGGGCAAAAAAATTTACTAAAAACAGCATGGATAAGATTCTTTTACAATCAGTTTTTCTGCTTTTTTTGTTGATATAACAAGAATTTGCCAGCAGATTTTTTGGGAAAGCATTTGGGGCACATTAGAGAGTTAAAGCATTTGAATATTTTTGATTTGGTGGCTATTCATTTAAATTTAAGGTTGCTGACTACAGAAATGCAGTTATAATTGCAAGGAATCCAGGGTCAGCCATCAGGTAATAGAGGAAATGTAACTTACTATCAAAAAATTTAATAAAAATTTTGATATAATGTTGGACACCTTTACCAGCCCAAAAGGTTTCTATCCAAACTAAGGTCAACCATGCAAAAGATTTTCTGTGCACACAACCAAGTACTTTCTATTGGTATTGAGCATTTTGATATATAGCCTTGCTTCACAACATGTCAGGGGGTAAGTTTGGGTAAACATGAAAATTTGGACTTTGTAATAGACCTTGTCCACTGCAGAGTCTCTGTGGCTCAGTGGTAGAGCATCAAAGCACGGTCTGAGATTCAATTCCTAAAAGGAACCCAGAATTTTTTCTTTGTCCCACACTGGTGACAAGACAAAAAACATCTTTCTCTAAGAGTGATAAACTCACTGGAATAAACTTGCTAAAATAATGGTATGATTCAAGGGCCACCTCTTTTGCTGAGCGTTTACGACTTGGATTGGCTGTGATTCATGGTGAACAAAAGGAGATGGAAAGTGAGCAACTTGATGGTCGTCAGTCTCCACCTCCTACGTTAGCTGAGGGACGTCGTTTTGCATCTGTTAGTATTGACAGCATGTCTCTACCAGGTAAGTTTCGACCTGGTTGTCACAAATTCTGACTCTCAAATTCACTTTCAATTCTGATTTGTTTGTGTATGTATATTTTCAGATTACCTGAACCAGCTTGGTTCACTTTTGTCATTTACATTTGTCATTTGAACACTAATGAACTTGTTACATGCTTTACCGGTGCTGACACACTGTCACTAAGCCATCCTATGGAATATAGTGTTGGGTGTTCATAGAGCTGAACTAAAACCTTTGCAATCAATATTTTTTCATACTTGTGTCTTTCACAGGATTTCTTCCCAAAGCTAAACCTCCAATTAACGTTGTGGGTGATGTAGGAGGCAAGATTGCCATCATTGTGGTAAGATTTGATTCAGTATTTTACTGCACCATGGTTGGCTTTAATGTTTGAGTGGTGCAGTGTAGTTATCACATTGTTGGTGTACTCTTAGTTATCAAATTAATTTAAAAACCAACAGTATTCAATTTATAACAACAAAATGTCAACTACATGAACAATTTTGGAGTTTTACCCAAATATTTCATAATCTTAATTATCACATTTACTCTGGTAGAACCATTCTCCACTTAAGAGTAGAAATTAGTACCAGTGAAATGTTACCCCTGTGACCACCAGGAATTATTAGTGCTCATCTAATTTCTTCTTAAAATGTCACCCTGAATCACATAATCAGATGGATAAAATGATCACCAACTTAAGAAGCTCTTGATTGTTAAACGTATTCTCCTTGTTAGCCCCCTAGGAAATATCTAGAAAAAAGTATGGAGAATATGCCCATTGATGTTAGGTTGTAAAGGGTAGAGGAAATTGAGCATAGTTAGGGGGTAATTTTTGATGGACTTGCTTTCAATTCAGGGTATTAAGAACCCTAGTTCCTTGATGGTATAGAAATTGGATTGGTTGGGGCAGTGACAGCCACAAGCCAGCGTTTTATGGAGACTCTCTTTGTCCCTATTTAAGATGTGTACGTTTAGTTGATGTATCTCAGTAAACCGCTTATCACTGTGCGTGTCTATTTACAATGAGCGATGGTGGTCACCCAGTAGTTTTTCCACTTTGTTACGGTTCCTACGTTTAGATTTACGTTATACTTTACTGTGTAATTTTACAATGTGAATAAATATTGCCTTGCTTTGTCTTACTTGCCATGAACACACTTCTACACCAGGCTAAATTGTTAAGTCTGAAAGTTGTTGTATCCCGACTTACAGGATGATATGATAGACGAAGCAGAGTCATTTGTAAATGCCGCCAAGCTCCTGAAGGATCGTGGGGCATATAAGATTTTAGTGATGGTCACTCATGGCCTGTTGTCAGCGGATGCGCCAGAACTGATTGAGGATTCCGCGATCGATGAGGTAAAACACAGCTTTTGCGGTTTACGTGATGTCAATAGGAGTTTCACGTCAAAATTAGTGAGATGTAAATGCCTTGTACGGTATATAGACGTCCCCGTGCTAAAGCACTGCTTATTCCGGCGTTTTTAAGTCGGAATGATTTGAGGCTCTTATAGTCAACACATTATTTTTAAAGAAAGAACAAGTAGTACATTGCACGCGCAAGCACATGAATGCACGCGCTTGTGCGTCAGTATAAGACAACTTAAACCTGAAATATCATTTCGTGTCTCGTATGACGTAAAGAAGCGCAGAATATTTTTACAGCCACCACACGTACGCGACATAACACTTGTTCCCTCGTTCAGTCAAATTACATCACTATTTCAGACGCTCGGTTAAATTCACTGACTACTATGATTGCACCCCCACCAGAGTAATCTACTGCGTTGTACGCCCTCTGCTCGGAGCTTTACACTGTAGGGACAGGAAGATTATCAGATCGCTTTCGTGAACTTCCGAAAGACACAAAAACGAAGACACAGTTTCCTTCAGCCCGTTTTGAAAAAGTTTTTGGGGCCACGAAGCAAAACAATTGAAAGTTAAGGGCTACACCAGAAGACTCTAAGTTTGAATAAAAGAAAATTTTTACGACCAGGTATGAACTAACGTCGTGGAGTTCTTTTTGTCATTAGGTTGTCATCACAAACACAGTATCTCATGATACGAAGATGACTCGCTGTAGTAAAATCAGAACGGTGGATATCAGCTCACTTTTGGCCGAAGCCATCCGTAGAATTCACAATGGCGAGTCAATGGGATATCTGTTTAGAAATGTTCCTTTGGAGGATTAGCCGAGCTGGCGCGTTGAACTGAGTCTGAAGTAAAGTTAGTTTTGGAAGACTTTCGTGGAAATTTCAGACAGAACTTACTATGAGAAAATATCTCGAGTGCGTTTAGCAAACTAACAGCTTCACATTTATTTAGTTGTGTGGTAAAGTGTAGTGGTCATGATATTAAGCACCTGAATTAATGGGCTACTGGGCCACAAACACGAACAACCACCAACGCCTTTCTAGATATGAATACGCCTCTAACGAAATGCCTGTGTGCAGACCGGGAGGACTGGATCGTGGAGACGAAGTCGAGGCTTATTGGTAAATATCCCAGGAGAACATTATAAAGCCCTGTTCAAACTGTCATGATAGAGCACGATAGTTGGTGTTCAAACGCGCGTGATAGTTAAAACTATCATCAACTATCATGACGGTTTGAACGGGGCTTAAATGGACAAATTCTTCTTGTTTAGGCCGTTTTTCCCCAAGACCTATCGAACAACAGTGAATAGAAAAGCCAAATCGAGTAAGGTTAGCCGCGAAAGAGAACTTTATTTCTCCTGTTTTTGATTGTTATTTTGAGTGGAAAGTTGACAAGTAAGTATCATTTTTGGAAAAAAATGGCGGAATCTCGACCTCACTGTTTCTTGGATCGGTAATAACTATCAGCACTTTTTGCACCTCGATTTCATTGGACAAATGTTGATGGACTTTTCTAGTAAGAACTGTAAATAAAGACGGGCAAAGTTGAGTTCAAAGAAACAATATGAGAAACGAGTTTTAATGTTTCTGTATAATGGGAGCCGCTAAATGTGTGTGAGGAAAGCCACTTGTCGTTTGTCTGTAAAAGAAAAAGTAAAGTACAGGTGTTACATCAGCTGAGTGTGTCGCTAGAAGTCAAAAATTTTCGTCAAGAAGAATCCGCAGCTTGTTTATCGGCAACGATCCTTTGTAATATTATCATGACGATACTCAAAAATGAGGCTGGATTCACGTTTCTGAAAATTAATTCCTTTTGTGAATTGGAGGTCGGTCAATATATGTTTACGCTGAGAAATTTAGTTGTTTGTTCGAAATACCTTCTAAAGGAAAATTGACTGTTAACTTCTCCGGGAAGCTGCGACTGCACCCCCCACCCCCCTCGAAGAAAGGCCTGAAGGGATTACTCCGTGATGTGTAAATTTTCCTAACATTTTAACATACTGTTGAGTAGAAACGTGAGAAAAGTCTAGAATTTTATATCGTAACTAACAATTTTTTATCATGTGAGAGGTTGTTTAACACGATTTTGGATTTATTTCATAAAGATTACAGATTATTTATGGCCTAGAAATTGTCTTGGAAACCTTAAGTATAAGTACGCAACGCGTAAATAGAGCCTTTTACCTTCTATCTCCTCAAGTCGCTTTTCTTCCATGACTCCCCGTCAGCAAACATGCAGTTCCAATCAGTACTATCAGTCGGGCATGAATAATCACTGATAGTTTCAAAAAGAGTACAGAACACTGTACCCACAAAGCTGTACAGACGGAACGCGTTACAGGAAGCGAATTGGTCGCATCTCTGTTGGCAGAGAGGCCTCGCACCAGCTATATCGCTGTGGTAAGTGGTTTCTGAGCCCACGCTGATTCCGCTGATGAATTTGTATCCGGATATTTTAGTCCACGAAGCTTTCAATGGGTAAAAAAACACGATAAGCAGAGTCATTGTAAAGTAAGCCGTGTGTTTATTTTTATCATGATTCGTTCATTGAAAAGACCTTGCCAAGAGTCAAGGATTTGAACGAATTGATCCCGAATAAATGAGACTTGAACAGAGTAAGATATGCGCAGTTTACCTTTTTACAAGTAACTCGGTTGTTTAGAACGTCATCTGCTCATTGATAACCCTTGTCTCAATAAAGTTATGACTTTAGTTGACAACCCTTTGCTGTCATATAGCATAATGAGAAAATTGTTTTTCTTGGGTCTTCTTATTCGGTTATTAAACGTGATCAGAAAGAGACGATTTCACATGCATATAAGTAATTGTAATCGTTTGCATGATTACATTAACTTTGGAAAGAAAGTGGGACATGTTTGTTCATCCCTAACTACCATTGTTACTGGGCTAAAAACACAAAAAATAATTGATGAGTCCTACTAACATCATGACTGATTTATTAGCGATGTCAAGCAGATAAGTGGGTGCTGGTCTGAAACTCTGGGAAATTAAACAGACTCGGGATTAAGCCCTATCCGAGTTAAATTTGAATTGTACATTGTTTACCCGGCATAGCTTTTTCGATATGCAACGGATCCACCTCCAAACCAGAGTAAAATGCGGAGAGACACTGACACAAGTATACACCTTGGCGTTTGACCGAAGTTAACCGTTAAGGAAAAGTTAGCCTGAAATCCGACAAGTGTTATTGAGATGGAAAGACTGGACTCTGGCACGTATTACAACAAATAGATTTGAAAACATTTTCACATCAAATCTGAATTTAGTTTTGTTACTGTTATTATTATCACTCGTTCGAAAAAATGTGATGCAATTAAAGCTTGGCCCACTGTTGCCCATCAAGATACATCGGCATTTTTAATTCCTTACAAGTCACGGCTTTTCTAGTTAAATCAGAGCAAAATTCTCCAATTCTTAGTTCGCCTTTCAACTCGGAACTTTCTCTTGCACGAATGTAAGCGTTAAAATAAACAGAAAAATTATGAAAGATTCGATTAGACCACAAACTTTGCTTACCATGAGCAGTAAACGAGGAGAAACAGAGAATGACAAGAATAATTCCGGTGCTGTATGCCATATTTTAGACGCTATCTATCTTCTTCCGTAGAGGAAACAATGTCATGAACACGCAAGTATATAGTTCTGGTAGTGTGTGGTTACTGAAGCACATCGGCTTTGTAGGGCGTTTCTTAATTAAAAGTAATTTGTTGCTGTCAAACGGAAATAGGCACAAATCTTTTGTAATATCCGCCAAAATTTGTTGATAATAAGATGAAAGGATTACCTGAAGAGTAAACATTCGTTGATTCATTTTAAATCGGGTTTCTTGTTTATCGCAAACATAGCTCAGGTGAAGTTTTACTACACCTTTAGTTTATGGTCTCTCGATAAAGTACCTAAATACATGGTTTTCTTGTCGGATTTGTTCAGTTACCAAAACTATCGATATAAAAACAGATATGGAAATGAAAGAAAGATCAAAAGCTAAGATAAGGTTCCTTGTGGTTTATTAGCTCGGGCAACCAGATCAATACAATGAGTGACTTTCCTTATCTGCCAGTACATAGTAAAATCACGATTCATGGCACCTTAACAAGGACGGTTCAATATATTTTTTTCAACTTAATTTATCTACTTCTAGAAACCCGTCACTGTTTCACCCATTGAAAAATTTATAGCACCCTTTAATTTACGGCTTGTCAGTCATTAGTAAAAATAATGTTTGAGTTTCGACACAAATGTTCCCCTTAATTTTTTTAACCAGCCCGGGTAACAACCTCCTATTCTACTGATTATCGGGTAACATATTCTCGTATTTTCTCATTAATCGGGTAACAATCTTACATTCTCTTGATAGTCGTAACTGGGCAGAAGAGCCTTCATTTTATTCAGTGCGCTAAATAAAAAGAACAGCACGACCATAAACCACTGCAAGGGAAGAAAAGAAGCACTGAACAAGCTTTAAATAAGGAAAACCGCACACCAAATTTGATAGGAACGGGGTCAAAAATAACAGGCTATTTGAGTGTTTCGGTTATGGCTCTTTCATACAACGCAAAGAAATATGTAGTTCAGGGCTGTTGTACCAAGAAACCAGTCGAATTTGATTACAAATTGTTTAATACATGATGGTTGGTCTACACGATTTCCTCCTTGACAATAAACCAAAAATATTACGACATCGGCAATTACGGACGCTTTAGTTTCCTTCACGGCACGGCAATAGTTAACAGGCTAATCTATTTTTCCTTCCATAATAACAGTTTTTCGCCAAGATGAGTCTTTGGGGAAGATTCTATCTCCCCTTAACTTCCCTTAAATAACTTACAACCCATAGTTGATCTCAAGAAGGAATGTGAGCGTTTGCTTATATGATTGGCTTGCACAATAACCAATCAGATACATGGCTTCGTCAAACTGTGATCGAAGGCAAGTTCAGCTAATTTATCATCATCTTTTTTTTTTAAGAACATCGCCTTTTTTTTCTGTTTTTGTCGAAGACGTCACAGTTTATACACTACGACTGTCCAAGAGGACGAAGTGTGTAGCTAACTTTTGTTCCGATTGTCAGTCAGGAGGATAAGTTTTCTTAGCCACCTCTGTTAACATTAGATAGAAGCATTCGCTGACCAGTCTATTTTCTGGTTTTCAACGCCCGTAGTTTTTGCACAAAAAAGCTTTCCAATACTTCAGCACAGCGGTAGTACGGTGAATCTCTCTGGTTGAAGTAGCGGCAGTTGTCAAAAATCTTGGTTACATCACCGACGAACGATTCCAGGCACGAGTAAGACTTGGAATTCAGACGTTCCTCGACTTTGGACAAGTCTAGCAAGAAAAAGAGGAAATACTGTGAAATAAATATCATTTGATTTAAAGAAAAAGCGTTGGTAACAGCAGTAATAGAAGTCATCTCCGTAAATTCTACCGACCTCATAGAAAACGAAGAAAGCAAGAAAGACGAAAGCAAAGCCTCGCGTGAAAAGTCTCCTTACCACTTGGGACAAGGACAGCACTTGCAAACAATAAGGCTACAATTAATTGACCATAAACATAAAGAATGTCGCTTAAAAAGGCACAAAATCTTGTATACTTTTTTCCATTTCCTGAGGCATACATGAATCGACTCACCCATTGGATCAGTGATGACGTCATAATACTCGGGAACCTCATCTGCATTGACACCCTCTAGGAAAGGCCACGCCATTTTATGGCTCTGCGACATGAATGGGGCGTTAAAACATCAGCATTAAAACTTCTGACTTAATGTTTATGGAGATATGCCAAAATTTCTGCATCGTAAAACATTGAGCCCAAATTGACATGTATGCCAATGCATCAGTCTTACTATTCACCATTCCTAAACATCCACGATCCTATTTAGGATTATTTTCACCTTTTCATAGTTTACAGAACGACAAAAAAATCCTGCCTCTCAACTAACCTGTAACGATCTATGCAATCGTTTAAGTGAATCGTAGTCTTTGCCGGTCAGCGGCTGCTTGTTCGCTTGAGCCTGAGACTGAGTGCACCGCGGGCAAGTGTAATACTCGATATTTTCAGCTTCAACAGGTGTGATTCCAACACATGCTCCGTGAAACCAGTCCTGGCATTTATCACAGCCGATGTAGAACCTGATAAAAACAAATCATTATAACCTTTAAGGTTAGTAAATTATAAGGTTATGAAGAAATGTCTAGACTCTAAAAGTATTTCTCCGCTCTGTATAAAAACTAAGCGACCACTGTGATAAAAAACGGCAGATAAGATAAAACTTTCATTTCAAAGCTTCTTCCTTGGGATGGTTTCATTTGCACGAAACATCTCTCAAGAAACGATGCCTTGGGCTCAGCTCCGTGGAAAACCTGTTAAAGTGACTGTCCTTTATATCTACATATCTAAATAAAATATCGGCTGAACCAACATAACACATGCTTACTTTTTCTCGTCATATGGCTGGCGACACAAACAATAGAGTTCTTCCTCCTCCACTCCACGGCGAGCTTGGGCACACTCGGCACAAGTCCACTCATCCATACTTCGTGCAACGTCTGGAGAGATCTGGACACAACTTCCGTGAAACCAGTTTGCACACATGTCACATCCGATGTAAAATCTGAGGCAGTAAAAATAAATGACTGTAAACTTTTTCGAAAACTGTGACAGTACGTTATCCACCTGATATCTATCTACCAATATCCAATAAACATTAATTACTACAACGAAAAAGAAACAAAAGCACAGACTCACTGGGATGGGTCGTAGGGTTTTTTACAAATGCAAAAGAGCCGTTCTTCTTCAATTTTCTTCTTCTTGGCCTTGGGCCCTTCTGGTGTACTCTGTGAGTTCCTTCTCTCTGTAGCCCCTTGCTTTCGTTTGTTCTTTATGGTCTGCTGCTGCTGCTGAAGCTCTAATATCAGATCTCTCTCCAGGAGATCCCTTTTACGCATCAATTCCCGTTTAAGCGCCTCCTTTCGCTTCTGAAGTAAAATACTGAGTTTGTTTGCTTTCTGGCGTTCCAGTCTAAGTGCCTGGTTTTCTTCCTTTGCGCGTTTTTTCTCTTCTTTTTTCCGTTCAGCATCTTCATTTCGATCAATCTTATCCAAAATGCCATCAAGAACTTTTCGACAAATGGCAAGTCTAAAGAATAACAACAAAAAATGTAGGACCTGATAAAAAGGGAAGTACAAGTTATCACTGAATACAGACATAAAAAGGTTATGCTTCTAAATGAAATTATTACCATAAAAAGAGAATTGTGATTCGAAACACAAAATATTGATTAGGTTAAAATGGTACTTGTTTCACATGTCGCTAGGGTGAAGCAAAGAAAAATTTTAGGCCGTCGACAGGATCCCATCAGTGACCCTTTGTTTGATGGTGTGATGCCGGCTCTGACTTGTGGGTTACAGAGAACTCAGCGCGAGTTATTGTTGGTAATTCAAAGCACATAGACGACTATCTCTCTGGATACTGCTAGAATCAGCAAAATTTTGCTGCATCGCCGAAAAGAGAGGATGTTGCAGTCAGTTGTCGCGTGAAATCTTAAGCCTTGATTTGTTTTAGCGCTACAACTGAGGGTAACTCTTTTGAAAGAAAATGAAAACCTCAACTCCCAGTTTGATTTAAATTTAGATACTTACCTGTTCACGTCTTGTCTCGATTCTAAAGTCACATATTTTTTATGATGCAACATGGGCATAGCCCCTCCCCCCTTGCGAGATTTTGTCTTGACTGTCTGCTTGACTTGATCTTTAGAGGAATGCTTCATCCTGGATGTTGCCATAGGGTTGGACCGGACTCCGGCAACTGTGGACAAGGGCACTGCAGGGGCAGGGCGAGTAACTGAAAGACAAATTATTGCAATGTAAGATGAAACTTAACGGCGATGAAGAATTATTATCAGACTAATCAAATGAGAAAACACCTATACTTCTCAGTCGGTTACAACAACGAAAAATGCGTTTGCATTTGGGCGAGCATAGCCTTGTGTTTACCAAGTGAAAAATCAAACAAAGAGAACAAAGTGTCCTTGTAACTGCTAAGGTTCGCTTCAGATCTACGTTTTGGTCCGTTCCGACTCGTCTTGATATTTTTTCATCTGTCCACAATTGTGACGTAGATTCAATCATTTTAATTTACCTGTGTTACTCGCTAATCCGCCTTGAAGAGGAGTCCCAGCAGCACGTGACGCGTTATTTGGAATCACAGAAGTAGGAACACGCTGAGAAACCTGAGGTTTGGGTTGTAACCACTGCACAGATTGTGTCGAATTGGCAACCGTGGGTCGTGGTATAATCTGCGGTCTTAATCCCGCGGATTGGATCCCTGAGGGCTTGGGAACAGCGGGGCGCACGGCGGGTAGAGTTCGACGCAGAGCTCCTAGGGGTACTGGTGGAGTCACAGCAGGCTTTAAAGTAACAGGCTGATTAACAACAATGGGTTTGTTACCAGTCCCCTTTCGTTGCTGAGTCTTGATGGCATTCTGAACTTTTTTCTTGTTCATCTTCAGCAGATGCTGCTGTTGCTGCCGCGTCTGCTGTTCTTGTTGTTTCCGTTGAAGCGCGGCGGCGCGCATTTCCGCTGCCCTGCGGATGGCTTCCTCCTGTTCCTTCTTCTCTCGTTCCAAGGCTCTCTCACGGTCGATTCGCTCGTGATACTGACGTATCTCCCAAAGTTCAAGCTTTGCCTTGTTATCATAAAACAAACCAGAAAAGCAAATACGTCACGTGAGTGGTTCACAGGATTAAAGGATCCAAAGAAAAGGTATCAAGTTCCACGAACAAAGTTTAAGACTAGACATTCTGACAACTGTTGACTTCCACTGATACAAAAATTCATTTAGTGGAATGAGCGCCTCGGTTCCATGGAAAGAAACTCAAAGAAATCGTTCGAGCAAAACTCGTTTTCGATTCACTGTCACTTCTGCGATAATCTACTGATGGCCTATTGTGCTTTTCGCCTAACGAATCTAGCGTTTTGCAAAAAGGGGTGGAACCACAGCGGTTCAGTAGATTTCGTTCACTCGCCACGGCTCATGGGTTTATTCCTTTTGACCGCAATACGATGTTTTCCTCATACGCTCGCATCAATGAAAAACATCGTATTTCGCTTCAATCCCAGCCTAAATTTAACTCATCTTCACTTTCATCATGGTTAAGTTATTTACCTCTGGGTACCAAGCTTCCAAGATTCGCGGTCCAGACGGAACTGAGGCCTCGTCCTCATCGTCAGGCTGTAGGACAATCTTAGGCCTCAGCGTTCGACCTCTCTTGCTCTTGGTGGGGGCCGGACGAGGTGGTTCTGCCATAGGTTTGGTTAGAGTACGCACGGTTTTACGCACGAGATACTTGCAGCAGAGACCATCCAAGGAAACGAATTTCCTGTCTGTAATCTCTGTTGTCGTAGTACCTTAAGAAAGCAATAAAAGTATTTTGTAATGGAGGTCACAATTAGACGTAAACTGGCAGGTCCACTACTAACTATTGAGGTTCCCCAGAAAGTCGTTACTAAGATTTTGACCTTTTTCCAGTCCATCAACTTAGAACACAACCAAAGCGTTTTTTTAATGTCAGTAACACTCACCCGAGCTTGTGTACACAGTGTTGCTATTCCCACGAGGCGGCCTGATATTCATCTCTTCCCATTTCAAACAGGACTGCAGAATCCTGAGCTGGAGCCCTGCACCAGCCAGTGTCTTTAAACTCTGGGTACGGAAGCGCCATGCCACCTTGAAGGAAGGACGAGGTATTCCCGCAGGCCAGTGTTTTACAACACCCCGCGACGTGTAGGAGAATCCATTGACCTCTTTCATCCCCGCTTTCCTACCGAGTTTTCGACGTTCGTGTTTTCGGAGTGCGAACACGCTCTTTACCGAGTGCCGCAACGGCCACTTGGCTAACCTTCGATTCAAAAGTACACGAGGATCTTTGGTGAGCGGTTCCAACGATGGGAACTTTTCCTCTTTCACCAATTTGGATGGGGGAGCCTTTGCAGTGATGACAACTTGAGGTTTTGCTAGTGCAACTTGTGGTTGTGTTCTCTGCACAGTGATGCTGGCGCCCGGTGTTTTGACGCCGATCGTCTTTTGGACAGTTGCGGGTGAATTCTGCTGCACGGCAGTTGTTGCAACTTGTACTGTTATCGTCTTCGGTACAGCAAGCCCCATTGGGGACGCTGCCTGCTGGGCAATAGCAGCCAGCTGCGACCCCTGCAGGGTCAAGGTCTTACCATCCGGGGTGACTAGCTTAATAAGCTGTGTTGGTCCAATGGTTGCACCAGATGTTGGAATACTTGCAACCAACGCAGCTATGCTATTCACAGGAGCCAGGTTAGTCTGCTGCCTCGAGGCAGCTGCAGGCTGGGTACTGATTCTCACCACACTGGATCCTTGGACACCAGTGGCAACACCAGGTGGCCTCGGAGAAGGGAGTATGGGCTTTGGTCCTATAGGTATATAATGGCTCGCTTGCCCTTGTGGTCGTACAGTAATGGCTGTTTTCTGTGGAGCAATACCTCTGGTAACTGTTGTTGTTAATACCGTGGGTGACGCAGCTACTACTTTGACTGGCACTGACTGGGCCGATGGGACCACAGGTGATTGTCCCATCGCGATGCCTTGGGAACCTCCAAGAACTACTCGCCGGCTTACTGAGGCTGTAGAAGATGACTCAGTTGATGCTGCAGGTTGCGTACTCAATGAGGTTGTTGTTTTAACACTTACTACAGCTGCTGGTTGTAGAGTTGATGCTACAGGAGTCACTGGAGATGGACAATGACTGGCGGGGGTTACAGCACTTACCAAAACCTGAGGTTGTTGTGATTTCGATACAGGTGGAGACGTTGTTGGTAAAACACTTGTTGTCGTCGAAGGCAAGGGACAACTCACTTGAGTTCTTTTTTCTGGGAGCTGTTCCCCTGTAGTTTCTGTTTTAGCTGGTCCAGATGACAAAGGCAGAGACGCTGAAGGTAAGGCTGCTGTAGAACACATATCGGTAGTTACAGTGCCTGAAAGACTCTCGATGTTAGTTTTTGCTCCAATATCATTCTGAACTGAGGATTCTTGATTGGTAGATGAAGAAGAGTTGGTTGACTTTTCTATACTCGATGCAGATTGAGATCCAGGGCCTGTATTTTTTGATAAAGCAATACTAGTCAAAGGTGCTGTTTCTGAAGATGACGCTGTGGTAACATCAATATCCATAGGTTGCTCTTTAGTATTGCAAGTACTTGACTGAGATAATGAAGCTTTACAAGAGATATGTTTAGACGACGGGTTGGTCGCATCAACGTCCATCGGTTCCTCTGTAGAGATGCAGCTCTTTTCGGGATCAGCATTACCAATCTCAGTAGAATTGGATGAGGTTTTAGAGTTAATAGAGGAATTCTCGTCTGCATTCTTCAAAGACTGCGACTCGTTGGTCCCTTGAGAAACCGTTGCTGCATGACAAGTCGTTGCATTCGTATCGATTACATCACTGCTCTCATTTCCAGTACTGGCTGAATGATCATTGCGCATTGTACTCTGTTCAGGGTCCGTTTGACTTATATTGCCTTCAGACGCTTCAGTTTCTCTCGAGGTCTGTTTGCTTTTTCTGGCGCGATCAAGCGGAATTGTAGATTCCATCTCAATAGCTCGAGTTAATTCTGAACAAGACGTTTCAGAAGGAACCTTAGCAATTTTAACTCTTGATTCGGAGACACTTGTTGTTATATCATTATCCAACAGGGACTCTTCATGGAGTTTACAAGTGGTATACGGTTTACTACTATCAGAGTGTGAAAGATTGTCCTCTTTGTTAACCATCAAATCATTGCTTGCCGCAAAGCCAACCTCCTCATGCGCGGGAATGTCGCTAAAATTTACGTCTGAATCTTCTAAACTACCTTCTATAGCAGTTTTTAGATCGAGTTTATCATCTGTTTTCTTTTCAGTCACATTTAATGATCCATCTCCTTCTTTGAAATCTTTTGCGTCATTGTCTTGTGACAGAAGCTCATTGGCAAGGACATCAGAGGTTTGACTTGCCGGCAACATCTCGCTACCACAAATAGTCTCGTTGTTGCTAAAACAAACGCCGGCCGTCTTCTCTATTGCTGGAAGCTCCTTTTTAAAGTCCTTAATTTGTTCCTTTTTTGACACAAATTCTTCTGAGGACGCTGAATGTCCCTTTTGACAGTCAAGTAAATCGTCATTAGTTGAGGAAACCTCATGGCAACTCAAATTGCTCTTCACCGAAGTTTTTTCTTGACCCTCGACTGACCCACTATCCTCAAGAGACTGCATTTGTCCCACAGTATCTTCCATCTGTACTTCCTTCGTGGAATGGTGATCCATCGTTTTCAGAGGTACACCTTTTTGGCCCGCCAAATTTTCAGCCCCATTTCGCATGTTCTCCCTTGCAATATCTATGGATTCCTGTTCATGTGGAACATCTACTGAATCTGTTGATGAAACTTCAGTTCCTTGCGTAGTATCAACTGGTTTATTCTCAAAGGCACATAACTTATCTTCTGTTCTACCCTGATCTGACATTCCATGCCCAGTTTTATTCGAGAATGTGTCTGAATCTTTAACAGAGCAAGACGATTCATGGGTAATTCCTTGCGACTCCAAATTAGACAAGGCATTATCCTGTTTCGTAGAATTTGTCACATGGTCTTGAGAATGTGTAATTTTCTCCGGCATTAAAGCATTAGGTTTACGATCGTCTCCCAGTGATTGATGATGATTATCATGGTCCCCGGCTATGTTTAAAACACTTGGCGAAGGTGAAGAATCCAGACTTGGGGAGGAATCCCTTAGTATAGCAGTAGGTGGAACTGGAGACGCTTCAACAGCTGCCTCAGTGGAGACACGGTTGGTTGAGGTTGATGGCTGTGGTAGAGTTGGACATTCACTGGGGGAATTGATTGTCTGAGAACCTTGAGCCGAGGAGGTTGACAAAGACTGTGCAAGATCGAGAGAATTACATGAGACAACCAGTGGAGTGGATGAGGTTGTACTCGAGGGGATCTGCCCATTCGTCTGTAGAACTGAAGAGGGCATCTCTGATGGCAGCGTGGACGATGGATGAGTGAGACTACTGAAAGGAGTTTGAAGAGACGAGGAAGCTTCTTGTGACAATGAACTCGTAGTTTCTTCAGATGACGTAGGTGAAGAGACTGGTTCACGTATTGATAACAGGCTAACGGATGGTTGATGAGAAGAAATTTTAAGGCTATCAGTCTGTGAAACAACTTTAGAAAGATTAGGAGACATTTTAGATGACACGGCAGCCTTGAGCATTGAAGTACTAGAAGTATTGAGAGAAGGAAAAGAGGGTGCCAACGTCTGTTTCGAGACATTTTGCTCAGATGGCTGTGCTAAAGTTGCGCATGTTGATGTGACGCCACTTTCAGCCGTGACTGGAGTAACAGTAGTTGTTGTTGTAGCTTGGCCCTTTTGAGGACCGGCTGATTGAACTGATGTTGAAGACGTTGACATGGCGTCATTTTGAAGTGTGACAGGAGTTTTTGCTGGCGTTGTACAAGCAACAGTAGTAACAGGTTGGACCATTCGAAGAGCTGTTATTGGTCCTTGAGTTGAAGAGGTTAGAGAAGCTCCACGTTGAACGGAAACAAGATTTTGTGCTGGCTTTGTCGCGGTGGTGATTGTAGTAGACTGAGCTGTCTGAGGTGCTGTTGATTTTAATAAAGTAGCACATGACGTGGTAACTGCAGTTTGCATTTGTGCTGCTGGTACCGCAACAAGGGTTGTTGTACTAGTCGTGACTATTTGAGGGGCTCTCGTAGTTTTCTCTACTGAAACAGGCTCAGCTTGTGAAGAGGATGTTCGTGCAGCGACCCTAACAACCCTGTCCGCTTCCTTTTTTAATGCTTCCTTCCTTTTGGCTTCTTTAAATGCTACAATTTTATTTGTAGTGTCCAAAAGTCTTCGTTTTTTGCTAACAAAGCTGTCCTTTTCATTATTTGGACGTTTCCTTTTCCGCAGCTGTAAACCACTTGTCCACACCCAGCCTCCTCCTCCAAACAGTCTGTACTCCTCACCCTTTTGTTTCCAAATTTGGTGGTGTGGCACCCATGTGTAATTCACTGATTGAAAAAGAAATGAATCGAGAAATTATCAAAAGAGCATCGTCCTTCAGTTGCTAGTTAAATGCCAACAAGTAAATTCCCTATTAAGTCCTGAGGGTGACAAATGGTTACAAATGGTTATCAAATGAGAGATTACACAGAGTGAGGTCTAAATGGAGCAATAAAAAATTACTAACAACATGGTGATCAAGACTGCTTACTCAGAATCAGATGCAACAAAGTTCTATTTTAGATAAATCCCATTGAAACTCATTACAGTATTATTCAAAGGGGTGAGTTGACAGTCCCCTGTTACTCGATTTTTTAAAACTAAAAAAAATCCGTCCTTTTCATGAAATTGTTGGTTAAGAAGTCTGATTAACTTTTTTCATTGTCTCATGAACCCAAAACTCAATTCTTGATCCTTCTTTCTCTTGACAACTGGGTATCAAGGATCTCTCACAAGTGGTGTATAACATTAAGTTACACCACTATCATCTCAAACCAACAAAACGAAAAAGCAGAATAACATGCACTCACCGAATCCTTTATGTTCTAGCTCAGGCTCTTCTTCTTCTTCCTTATGATCTTTCTTTTTTGTTCCAGCCTGCTTGGCTTCAGACACCATGCGATGCAGCTCCACATGGCCAACTGCATCATTCCACACAGGTAGATAACAGATTGGTCGTATTGAGCTCTCCAGAAAAGATAAAGCTGCAGCAAATTCTTTAGGTGTCTTTGACAAATGAACTGCTCTTACCCAGGTGGAACGCTGCACTGGCCAAGAAGGGTGCATGAAGGTTGAAGCTATGGAATTTTCAAGCCCAACTATGGAAAACCGCAAAGTGTTTAAAATGACATCTTTACTTCCACTAACATCCCCATGCCACTTATAGTCAACAAGGCTAAATTTGTTTGTGACGCTTCGCTTTTTATCTCTCTGCTCCAACTGCTGTTGTTTGGTCAGAGCTAGGGGATTACTTGTAAACTGATTGACATAGGAGGAGTAATTTGCTTCTGAGCCAAGCCTAAATACTGGTTCTGGCTTAGTTTGTTGAACAGCAGTGACTGCATCATCTGCAGTACTTGACTTTGTTGGGTGAGTAACAGAGGATACTGTGGCAGGCTTTGTGTCCTTCTCAACTGATTTACGACTAACAGACAGAGTCTTGCTGTCATTTGCTGCAGAGGATGAAGGAGTCTCACTCTTTCCAACAGTTTTAGTTTGTGAAATTATCTCTTTCTGGCTCTTGCTGAACTTAGGTTTGACATCCGATTCAGAAATTGTGTTCTTTAACAGACATTTCTCTTCTTCCATTTTATCACCAGAAGTCCTTTCTGACAACATGCTATTTTCAGATAAGCCAGACGACTTATTTTCTTCCTTCTTCACAGTGCTTTCAGGAGCAATTGGCTCTTTTGTTTCTTTCAGGGACTCACCAGAAGCTGACACCTTCCAACTACCCTTTTCTTCACCAATTGACATCATAATTGAAGATTGTTTGACAAGTTCCTTTTCCTCCACTAAATCAGTATCAATATCATCTGAACTTGAAGCAGACATGGATTCCTCCGGACAAGCACCTGTAGGTACAATACTTTTAGCTTCTCCTTCTGTTTCAAAGGAAGACAATGTAGGCCTTTTCCGAGTGAAAGGACTTTCTTGGCCTGTTGTCCTTCTCTCCCTTAGCACCATCTGTTTATCCACATCAAGACTATTGTTATTTTCAACCTGAGGCATAGTGACAATCTTTTTCACTTCATTGTCTGGGATGAATGTGAGGATAGCTGATGCTGGAAGAGGCTTTGATGATGAAGGTACCCCACTGTCCACCACTGGATCTGCAGTGTGTTGTTGTGATTCCGCTACAACCAACAAATGTGAATTAATTCAAGTTAAATTGAGGATACATAAATTGCCATCAAATGAGTTTACTAGGGAAGGGAAGTATCAAAGGATGTATTAAATACCCTTCCACTGTTATGTTTGCATGTAAAGATAAATACAGAACTTGGCACTTGTGAATTCTCTTCCCTCCACAGCTTATTTTAGGAGACCAAAATGTAGTGCAACCAATAAAATTTCATTATGATGGATCCCTCTATGCTCTTAATGAATTCAAACCTTTTCTGGTTACTCATACTAAATTTGCTATTGTTTTTGTTCTTAAATACAACCAAATGACTTCAGTCTAAGATAAAAGTATGTATAGTTCATTCAATTTTTATGATACAATCCCAAAGGACTCCTTTCCACAATCACCCCTTGACCAACACTTTCTCTGTGAAAAATAATACTGACAGTACCTCATCTTTCCAGAAAAAATGAAAATGATGACTTTCATCACTAACTACAATGAGGCAGCCATGCTTGACACTTTATTTGTGTTAACTGATGGTGAACTTAATCCCACCACACATACCAATACACAAAGAGAAGGAGAAAAAAAACAGAAATTTTCATACCAGCAGCAAGTTTTTCCTCTGAGACTTCCAACTCTCCATCATTCTCCTGGTCTTTTTCCTCTTTTACAGGTGAAGTTGTCTTTTCTACTTCTTTCATTTTAATCTGTTTTGGTCTTGTTTTGGTGAGACCAGAGGGAAGATTTCCTACAAATTAAACTATCATTAATATCCGAGAGCAAACAATATGGCATGCTTATTTTAAAAAGGAACCAAGCAAATAGTAACCTGATTTAAGACACCAATCAGAAGGCAGCCACATATCAAGACTAATTTTGTCTTTCCTGCCTTTTCTGTTTTCACAAGACCTTGCCTTCTCAATATGTTTGAAATTTTGAAAAATGGAGTCAATTTCAACGATTTAAATCACAAGAACCAGCATGAGGTGTTAACAGCTGAGCGCTCTCTTAAAGGAAGCCAAAAGCTCTGCACAATGTTCTTTCTCTCTGTCATGGGTTTTCCTCCCACAATGTTCCTTTTATATTTTTAATAACTCTACCTCTTGAAGCCTCTGTAAGAGCTTCTGTCATTTCCATGTGTTTCACCATGGTTTTGTACTTGATTCTAAGAACAGAAATTAGCCTTTTCTCCTTTCCATCCTCTTCCAGAGAGCTCAACAGTTCATCCAGGTGAGCTTTGCAGCTGTAGTACAGTGTCTCGTCACAACCTTCCCTATTAAGAAAAGTATGAAAAATGTTTTGATCCCCTTGACTGCTAAGAGTGACTAGCATCTAATTCCTCCTTTGAATATGACACCTGACTCACTAAATCACACATTAAGGTCTCAAGAATAAAAGAAAAGTAATATGCATAATGATATAAGGGTTTAGTTTTAAATAGTGGTCACATTAGAATAAGTATATTCCACACAACCTTCTCCATAGGAAGAAGTAGTCAATAGAAGAGGATGGCAGACTAGTGACAGAGTATCTTCAGTAATTAACCTCAATTCAATTAATTGTGGACTGTAACATATTTCACAACCATGCAACCATTATTTCATCTGCGAGGTGGAAGGCAAAGATTCACAACAATTCAAGGGTTTTTACCTTACTAAAAAATCCTTAATTGCATTTACATAAAAAATTGAGATAAACCAAAAAAAGTCAGGGTGCTGCCTTTTACATCCTGTTAAATTTAGAAGCTTTTCCGTAACAGGGTGATTAAGAATAGATAAGAGTGAACCAAAAGGACATTTAATTCACACCATCTAATTCCAAACCTGTGAGACAGCCCCATTCCCCTCCCTGACCCACTTTAATAAGCCTACTCAAATCCTACACTTTGGCATGTAAGCTTATTTGCAATCAGAGTGGTGCAGGAAAATAGAAAAAAATTAATCTATTTAATTTATATCCAGCTTATTATTTGATCCCCTTAAGCGATGTGATGGCTGTGGCCCTAAATAATAAAATTGATTTTAATTAAAAAAAAAAAAAGCTTGCAAAAATAGAACAAAGAACAAATACATTAAGTTCAACCATACTTCATCATGCCAAAAACAGCTATCAAAAAAGTACAAATGTGAAGGAAGTCAGTAGTTAGCCATGCAAAGATGGTCAACGAAAGGTAAAGACCACTGCAATCGTTCTGATGAAAATATACCATGTCAACCATGTTGGAAGTAAATACTTACACAAACAAACGTCTGGCTAAGAACCAGTACTTTCTTCCTTCCCTGTCTACCCCTAAAGGGGCGTTTCTTAGCCAACCTTCTCTGTTCCAATCAGGTAAACAGTCCGTGACACCTTTGATTTGGTGAGCCTCGCATACGGGACACAGCCAATCGCCTTCGGGAACCACTTCTAACGGCGGCTTCAGGCAGTGAAGATGGTAAACTGCAGGACAACTTTCACAGCACAGTAAATCGCCCATTTTGCAGCAATTGCGACAATGATCCTCTGATTCGACTATTCCTTCATTCATTATGTCGTATCTGACTGAATTAGAGGCCAAGAATTGATCACAAAGTCGCTGGAGAACCTTCAATCTGTTCTCGACTGTTGTAAAAGGGAACGGATCTTCATCATGTCCACTAACAGCCGTAACTGTGTCTCCAAATTCGGTCTTATCTGACGAGATGTAGCTTCTAATAAGTTCAGGCCAAGTAAAGTCACCTAAGTAGTAGGAGAGAATGTTGAAGCTGTCTTTTTCGTCGGTAGCAACGAATGTCAAGCCACTCGCATCATCCTCAGACAACAAAAAGCGTAGTAGAGCGATGTGAATTTGTGCAAGTAACGAAGATTGTTCCGGAGTTTGGATTGCCCCGCAAAAGTCTTCAAATCTAAAGGGGGAGAGTCGTACTATGCGACTAAAATGTCTTAAAACCTCGTAAATCCCTAACGCTTGCAAAATACACTCTGGCTCGAGCAATAGATCGTCAGAAGACGGCGGTAAAATTAGAGGAGTTACCACTTTCAAGGGCTCGACATAACGAGTTTTAGAGCTGGTAGTGTTTGAAATGGAAGATCCATGACTAGAAATAGATTCATTGTCGCTATCGGAATCGGAAGATTCCATCCCGTAGTATTTACGTGGTGTTGTTCCGCTATAACCCCGAGTTTTAATGGCCATAGAAGAAGAGACACGCGGACTGCGGTGTCCGCCATGTTGGTTGATTGCACTCGAGACATCTGGCGAATTTGAGCTTTGAACCTTATTTTTAGGTGGCCGTCCCCTTCCTCTCTTCATTTTCTCGATTAAATCTACAGATCCCAGCTAAAGCACTTGAAATGAAGTGCATTTAGCCCTCTCCTGTTCGCATTTACCGGTATATTCCACTCTGTTTTGTCACTTCATTTTCCTCAAGCCACATTTTTACTTCGCGGGGAAAGAACTCTTAGTTGGTCACGTGACCCACCCAAAATGCATCATGCACGATTAAAAAATTTCTTGAAATGTATCAGTGAGGGATTATAACTTAATTCTGGTTTAAATTCGAAAGATAATCGGCATCAAGTGATCGTTACATGTTGCGGATTAAACCAGTTAAAAGTTCGAGAAAATAATAAATTTAATATGGGACGCTGCCATCGATGTTCTCCTCGAGGCCCTTCCCATAATGCCTTGCAACCAGCAAACGGCGTCTTTCTAAAATGGCGGCTGCAGGTTCCTTAATCTCTATGTATCACCATCCGACATATTACGAAGATACGGCTGTACCGCTTCCAAATTGTATGTATGGCCTGCCCAGCTACTATCCGACGAGTTCAAAACTTGAGGTAGATCGTGAAACTGAATGGTGTTCAGTGTATAAAACAATTTATTGCATCACGTGTTCGAGCTTGTGAGCTTTTTTTCGCCTACGCAGCGATCACTCATCTAATTTTTAATTCTAGGACCGCAAGGCACAGCTGCCGTCATCGAGTCTTCAGAGTCTCGAAAGAAAACAAGAGGATATTCTTCGTGAACTGAATGGCCTGAAAACTTCCGTTCAAGAAGTTGCCAAGCTACTGGGAGTTTCTCTTCCGCGTCCAAAAGGGAAAGTAAGCAGAGTGCACTTCAATGATTACTACATTTTTAGGCTAAATAATAAAAATCCTTACAGGAGATTACTAGATGTCGATCTGCAGCCATTATGAGGCCAGTGAAAGATTCGGGCTACCGCACCTCTAGCAGGGATGCTTCTTAATTTTTTTCTAACCGTTGGGTTCGAAAAATTAAAGTTAAATGTGCTGGTAATAACACTATTTTTTCCAAAGGCCGGGAGAGGTCAGGAATAAGAATTGCACAAAAATGTAAAAAGGGCTTTTTTGAAAACCAGTAAACAAAGGTTTTTTGTCAGTGAAAAAGCAGTTAATGTTTCCTTTTTACAGGTTACTTTTCTCATTTTGATAACACTCTATTACCAGCCTGAATGACTGCCTGACTGATTGACAGACCGACCTCTGACTTGCTAACTGATCATAAATTGATGGACCAACCCAGAAGACTGACTGATTGACCACAAAAGGACTTACATATGAGTAATTGATTGATTGATTGATTGACAAAGCATTAATCACTGTTGATTACCACACAGGTTTCTCCAACAACATGTGATTTTGTGATGTCTGCTTCACCGAGTGACCCTCCACTTATTATCAGCACCCTACAACATATTATGAAGCAGAGAGGGCTTTCCCATACAACAGCCATGTTCAGCCACTCGTCAGTGAAACAACCTATTCCTGATGCTGTCAGAATGCAGTTTCAGAACTTCTCCAAATGTAGTAAAGGAGTTGGGCGTGCCCCAATCATTTTAACTATTGTTTGGAAAGAAGGTAAATATTTAAGTTACCTTTCATGCAACCTCTCAATTGACCAACATTTTTTACTAAGCAAAATTGTGTCAAAGACAAAAATCTTTAGCTATGTGTTATTTTGGAGCAAGGCTAAAGTGTGTTGATTTTTTCTGATACTATTAACATGTTTCAAGTGTTCCTTCTCATTGTAAAAGTTCAATGAGAAAAGTTTAATCTTTCTGTCAAGATTCCAAGTCAGTTTTTACCACAGTTGGCAGTAATGTCGCAGTCTGATTGGCCAATTTGCTATTGTTGAGAAGAGTACAGACAATGCTGCTCCCATCACAATCTTGGTCATGCACTGAAAGAATCTTTATATTTTACATGGTACTGTGGTAAGAAACAAATCAACAGTGGTCAAGCATGGTCTGTACTCATATCAACATAGATATTTGTCATCACAATGGTCAAAATTTGTTGCCAACCTACTCGGCTGCACCTCGTGAGTCCACATCAATTTGTTAAATGGATTGTCAATAGCAGTATTGTGACAGTTATAGTACTAGGCTAAGTCTTTGCTAGTTTATGAGATTAAATTGTAGTATTGTGACAGTTATAGTACTAGGCTAAGTCTTTGCTTGTTAATGAGATCAAATGTTATTTAAAGTTCATCCAGTGAACACTGTAACGTATTAAGTATCAATGCAACGTACTAAGATTCTTTATCTTTTGTTCCTTTCAGTGGGAGATCTTCCTTCTCTAGTAGTGTCTCCATCTGGCCACAATCCGTTGACTGGTGAAATAACAATTGCTCGCTTCCTCTGCCGCACATTTCTCCCTGACTTGTATGGTAATTTAACACCTGAAGAGTCTGCATGTGTGGACAACTGGATTGACAAATCACTAGCAAGTAGCAAAGAGCGAACTGCTGCCTTAAAAAGTCCTGAATTAAAGCTTGCAAAACAGTGGATTCTTGGCGGGAAAATGACCTTGGCTGATATTGTACTTGCCTGTAGCATTGTTAAGCAGAATGGTGCAGATCATGTACATGATGATGTGAGGAAATGGATGATGAGGATTCCTGGACTTTTGACAAAGTAATTGAACCAGTTCATTATCTATTAACAATTATCAGTGTACACAGCTTACAATGTAACTGTACCTTAAACTTCTAAAGTGTGTTTGGCTCTGTATGAAATTACAAACTAAGCACATTGAACCGAAACTTCCACAGTGGAAGTTTTGATAGAATTTCACCTTAGGAATTTGGCTTCAACTTGTTATGTCTTTTTGCCATCAAAGGCAAATACAACCACAGGACTCTTGCTAGTGCCAGCCTATTGTAGGTTAAGCATAATGTGTAATGTTGCTGTTCAGTTGTTGATTGTTCAATCCAAAGGGATCAGAGTGAGAAATCAGGAAAAAAAACATTTTGGATATAGAATAAACCAAATAAACACTGTTAAAGTTAAATAAACACTTAAAAAGAAAAAAAATATCAGCCCAAACTGTAATCATGTAAAAGTGAAACTCACATTTTGAATTTTGTGGTCAGATTAGAACAGAAATTTGCTCAATTTTGTTGTCTGTGTGTGCTCACTATTTGACAACCAGCACAGGTTTGTTTTGTGGTAAATATGAGAGAAAATCTGGGACTTAAACTGGTGTCTGCATATTGCAGGGTGTTTGGGTGAAATTAGGTCTGGAACTTAAGGGGTTAAAAGCACAAAGCATTCACTAAACAGGGATCTTGCCTCAAGGAGGTGTAAGAGAGGTACTGAGATGTAATGCTAAAGAAAGGATTGACGAATTAATCTGTTACCAGACTCGTGTGACGTTTTGACCCTTTGAATGATATTAGGTTCTAATTTCTCCTTACAATATTAACTTTAAATCACACATTAAGGTTGCAGTGGGAAAGGAAATGATCATCAGCTTTAGAAGCTCTTGATTTTTAGAAAATTTTCCTTTTCAGCACCTTAGGAAATTATGGAGATTAGTGAGAAGAATATGCATACTGATGTTGGGGTGCAAAGGGTAAACTGCATTATAGAACACGGCTCATTTGAGAGGATTTATTTTAGTGATAATATATTTTGGTGATAATACAATCAGATTATTATAAACTTTATTGAGGTGTCATTGGCATTCAAGCCACGAGCTGTTATGGGTAATTATGTCATCTGTACATGGTGCCAAGCAAATAATTTGCTTTCTTTGTTGTTACATGCGCTTGCAACATTGTTCATAGTTCTGCGCAGCAAATCAAAATGTAGAATTTCACATTGTTCTTGCGGATATATTTAACTTAAGAGTGTGTACATGCAAAAACAATTCCACTTGCTCCAAGCTTCATCCATGATGACCTATTTGTCCAGCAAGAACATCACCAGATCTCTTTGACCGAGAGTGGTTGCTAGGTGGACTGGGGACCAACCATCGCGATTCGTTCTTCTGATGTCAGCACCGAACTCAACCAGTAGCTTTGCAGAATCAACTCTACCATCCCGTATACACTGATGCAATGGAGTATCGCCGGCTTCGTTCAGTGCGTTAATATCCATACCGATACTCAGTAGTCGATGAACTTCTTCACGATCTTTTCTGTTCACGGCGTCTTGAAAAGCCCTTTGTTTCTCCCTTTTTTTCTCCCTTTGTTTCTCTCTTGTATCATCTAAGGATGCAGTTGCTAGATTTTGCCTACATGGAAAATGAGAAATGTTCGATTAAAAACGTGAACTAGCGAAGTGCTGGTCTTGGAACAAAGAAGTTTTTCGAGACATTAATTTAAAATTATACACATATATTTAATACATCCACATAAGTAAATGGTACTTTTCGCGCACTGAATCGCGGGCTCATAAGCGACCAGTCAAGAATGATACACCTTCGAGCTGCCCGAACGCAAAATATGGGACTCGTTTCGCTGCAATTTCTATAGAGGAAATTAGAATGATGAACGAAACGGCTGTGACAAAACTGTTCACGGACGGGCATGGCAAGATTTTAACTACTTTGATTTTCAACCAAATGTAGCCGTATTGTTAAAACTAATGAAATTTTTTTTCTCTCCACTAGTTTAAGACTTGCAATCATTGTAACCAACTGTAAATGTCACGCCATAGACCAGGTTGTCAGGTTGGCATGCGAGCAACCCCTTCCCAGACCTTCCTCGATCCTTAAGTTTGTCACGATTTTCTGTAATCGGCGATAAAGCCCAATCCTCTCTTCTAAGTAATCAAAAGTATTCAATTTCGTGTCAACAAAACAAAACATTTTCATTCAGACATCATCAGCCTCAAAAGTTGCGATAAATTTTCGCATTCTTTCATCGTTTGCATCAGAACTTCCAAAAATGACAAAGACAGCGATAGTAGGTGCCGTTTTTCGACTCGCTGTTGCTCAATTCGCTTGGTTTTTCCCATCACACCGAAAACACCACACTTTTGCGATCACTTTCAAATGTATTCACTCGAAATAAAAACACGCTGAGGTTTTCTGTTGCTTTGCAGACGAAAACACCTACTTTTGCACCAGACCTTATCATTACAGCAGAAGAAGATCGCCCTACCCCGTTTACCCGTTTATCGTAATCTCGTACCCAGATCCTACCAAGTATCAGTGTTGCTCGATAGATCACAAGATATGATTGGCCACTGTATCACATTACGTCAGAGGACATACCTAAAATAAGGGGACATAAGTACAACGGTACAACTGAAACAACCGCATGGCCGTGGGCCGTGAAAGGTCTAGGTTCGAGACTAGCCTAATCGTGCTTGCAGCCTACCACTTTTCTAAAAGCGGTTTTCGGGAAAACCCGGCACTTAACGTGACTAAACTTCCGGCTTTGTGAATTTATCAGAGAGTCAAATGCCCCTCACTGAGAACTAAAATAACTCTACTTTACTCGCACATTGCATGTAAAAAGTGATTTAGAAACGGGTATCCTTGGCTAACAAAGTTTTTAATCCAATTTGAACAAGTATCTATGTTGAAGGTTCTTGGTTTAGAGATAAGTCTACAAAATCAAATACTTGATGGAGACGATTTATCATGGAACCAAATAAATCATGATCAGTTATATCATGAAATATTTGGTTACTCAGTCGCAAGTTTCGTTCCAGCATTTCGTCAAATTTTCCTAACAGTTAAGGCTAGTTATAACCGAAGCATATTAAACTTATTTCCGGGCGGTGAAGTGTATATGCACGTAATAAAATTGTGGAATGAGACATCAATCCTATTATAGTAATAGGAAAATCTTCATAATTCCTCATCCTTTTTATACCCCATTTAACCCATCGAGAGAGATCGAAAACCTGACAGGTCAAACATGGCCACATTCCCCTAATCAGCTTGTTTATATCTAAAAACCTCTTTGACCTTCAACTCCCCATATCTGTTCTAATCATAAGTTTTTATGTATTTTATTGTGCGTTCGTTAAGATAATTTGAAGTATCACTTAGCAGATATTTTTTTCTATTCCCTAAGCCTATCTGGTTGATAATCGTTGAATGTTGCAAGGAGAAGTTCTTTGTCAACTAGTTTTGAAATACAAATGGTTACCTACCTTCAAAAAAAACCTTAAATTGGTCAAAAACGGGCCGCACAAGCACAAAGAAGATTATTTAAAGCCAATTGAATATCGCTTAACCGTGGCCGCTGTGGAGTGTAATTTGTACGTCAATACTCAAGCAATAAAGTCAAAGCGTTTGTGAAGTCTGATATATCAGTGCATACTAAAACTCAACGAGAAGAAACAAAGCAAAAAGTTCTTCCTAATAAGTTGAGTTGTACAAGAGAAGTTCATTGACGATATTTTTAAAACGCTGTAATTTCGTTGTGCGCGTTGGTGTTTAGTTTGGGAGTGATCACTAGAAATTTTTCGAAAATCTCTTGAATCTGTTGAATTTCAGATTAGCGGTTTAATCGTGAACTGAATTCCATCAATTTAGAAAACATGACACGAGGTCAAGGTAAACCACGTGTTCAATCAAACCAGTTACCATGCTGTTTCGAGAAATATTCCGCCGATCTTATAGGGTATTGTTTAATTTTCACAACAAAGACAGAAAAGCGACTCTATTAGCAATAAAAGCCTATTGAGGAACACTGTGATAACAATCTATAATGAGGTAATGTAATTAAGAATTTTGCCTTTGTTTCCATGAGCCATTTTCGATGGAAATCGACAATATATGTAATCAAACAATCAGGGTGGTATATTTCAGACTAAAATTTATTCCATGTGCGGAGATAATATACTCAATATACGTGAGTGATCTACATAGACAGCCCGCCATCTTAACATTACTGTGGGTCTTGGAGGTCTACGCTCTTATGCAAAAAAATTACTCCGTAATCCTTTGATATATGTTGTGTTTGGCCTGGTAATGTTACCAAACACTACTTGTCGGGAAAGTCGCACGTTGTTCATTGTAGCGTTGCAATTTATGACAATAAAGAGTTCCGATAACCCAAACTCGTGAACCGAAAATGGCCCGGAAATGGCAGAGAAGACGGCAAATTTAACACTTTGACAAAGAAATGCTAATTCGCGGGTTCATAGCAAAGATTGCGAGGAATTTATTGTAAATGTCAGTTGATTAGCCTAATATTGCCGTGGGAAAATTCAGTCGCCGTGTCACGGTAGATGGATCAGTAAGACAAGATGAAAACAAAATCGACCGCTTCTCCGGAAAGAATTAAATTATTCTTAGATTACATAAATACGATTTTCTTCTAAGCCCTGACAAATTCTCGATCAACTGTGCTGGTTTCGTTGCATGTAATGAAACAGTCTGGCGAGAATGGCCTGCACATAAATTTTGTAGAAAACATGATGACATATTTGCCGCACAGGAAATTTCTCGTCGTACGCATATAACCTGTCGAAACGAAAGCACAAAAGAAGGCAAAATTTCCTATGAACCGTTCCAGCGATCGAAAAAAATTAGTTACACTGTTGTGAGTCTCAAACATGTTTCATATCTCCTAATGATCGTAAGCGAATTCCTTAGCGAGTAGCGTCTCAAGAAAAAGAAAACGAAGCGCAATAATCATACAAAAAGACTCATCCGCAATCACAGCAGTTTCGAAAACTTACCTCTGCATCATGCACTATGCTTGAGGTTCCGTCAATTTCAAGTCTTTTCAGTCGATTTTCTTTGCAACCACAGCTCTCAGTTAGTCATCAGCCTCGATTGCATCAAATGAGTAACGAGATGGCGTGATACTTCAGGGTCACAGTTCTGATTCTATTTTAAGCACCTTTTAAAATTTTCCGTCGATCGCGCTCCGTCAATTCCCCGTAACGGATCTCAGATATTGCAATATCTGGGCATCCGTACTTTTCAAGTGCTTCACGTCCACAAACCGCGCTCGTACTGACACTCACTGCCAACTAAAAGAATAATAACAGTGACCGGCGAGCGCTCGATTTGAATAACATTGAGCCATCACCGTCATGTCACTTGAGAATGGATGTTTACAAAGGGAATAATAAATGAATATGTTGCCGATAAGCCAAGCAAATTGCAGCAGTCAACAGGTGGTCTTTTGTTGTTAGGTGTTTAAAACTGTGATATTCACTTTTCATTCTTGTAAAACATTTTTGCATCCTGATATCTCGCCGGAGCAAGTTTGATAAAGAATTCAAGGGCAAATGTATGACAAATCTAATTGGCTTTAAATCGATTACAAGTTTCAGCATGACAGTGTAAATACGGCATCAAATCATTGGTGGTAATTGCAGTCTTCTGAAACAGATTTCGAAGTAATCTGCGATCAGACAGCCGCAAAGAGGGTATTTTTGGTGCCAATCTTACCATGGAACTTATAATCAAGTGTTTTGTTCTCTTCGTTAATTGTAGGTTATCCAAAATTTGACACTCAGCACAGTCGTAAATGACGTCAACCGACCAGACATTTTTTTGTGCCAGACATTTGTTTAGCGTAGAAGCTCTTATCTGTTCTCCTGCTGTTAGGGTCGAAAAACAATAAGTTAACAGTACATTTGGCCCTTCTCCACTTTTTCACTTCATTTTACAAATGAAACTGATAATGCATGCGAATATGCAATGGAGGAAAAAAAAAGCAAAAAAATTTACTGGTGTAATAAATGAATGCTTGAAAGCTCGCCGAACTTGTGAAAGAAATAATAGCTGAATAAAAAGGCGCTCCCTCGAATCCGTTTTCCCCATTTTCTGTTTATGTAAGCACCCTCATTCCAATAAGCACCCCTTGAACAAAAATTTCCCCTATTCCAATAAACGCCCCTGCTCAGTTTCAGTAGTAGTACTGTTAGAATACATTTGCAATAAGATAAACCGTGGTTCAGTTTCCTTGGTGGTCTTCGTCTCCATCAGGTACCCGTGAGTGCACAGTTCCTTCAAACAGATCCCGTCGTAAAATTTTGGGACGACTGCTTTCTGCTATTTCTCAAAAAAAGGAAATAAGTGCCCGGTCCTCATTAAGTGCCCTGTTTCCGATAAGCGCTCTCCCTCAAAGATACCAAAAGAGCCTTATGGGGGGATTTGATAAACATTATCAGAACAAAACCAGAATGCTCCCCCCCCCACCCCCCTCTCGAGCGATAAAATTAAGACTGGTCCCCCGGGTACCTAAATACAGGACGTCATTCCGGCGAGCATGATTCCTTTATGAGTGGGTAGAGCCATCCGACATTTTACATCAAAAACAAACGGGGCTTTTCATTGAAATTATTGTGAATCAACATGACAAGTTTCTTTACATTCCATAAAAATCAAAATGCATTACATGATGACTTGTTTTTTCTTGTCTGAGAACTGGATCTCACTACTGTGACGTGAACAGTTATGAAGAGAGAACCAATTTTTCCGAAACGGACGACCACCGCCTAAACTCGAGATATCTCGTCTCAGCTGTTAGCGGTAGCTAATTTAATAAAACATGCAAACTGCATTCGTGTACGAAGGGGCGCATTGATGCAAAAAAAGAAAAAAACAAAAAACAAAAAAAAACCGGCCCGATTGAAATTCTAGCTTTACTGAGTCAGTTCACTTTAACAATTCTCCTCTGGCTGTCTTAAAGTTATTACAATTAGCACTGGTTTTCATTTTGACCCCAACTTTCCGTGCTGAAGCTCCGACAGCCTGTTTGGATATGAGCTCTGGATACATTTGTGAAGAACCTTGTGAGGATCCGATTTTAGGGAAGGCCAAGTTGAAAAAAATTCCTGCTGTTTAACCATATAAGTCCCATCAGCGACCAAGACAGAATTTCTCCTTAAACTATCAGTACGATATCAAGCAGACAAGTAATGAGAATAAAGAAAAATATCAGTTAGAGGATTATTGGTTGATCCAATTCCGAATTCTCCAAACTAAAATCACAACTGAATTGTATGGTAGAAAGTAAGGAGAATTACTAATGAAATCTTGGGAGTTAAAGGCCTAAGTTAAGTCCACTATCAAAACATCTCGATGATGATCAAATAAGTTCTCACCAAAATTTTCTACGAGCAAAGAAAATCAAAGCTCAAAAGCTCGGCTGAGACATTTTTGGTTGGCAGTTTTATTTCTCGGTGGGGTCGTTTTAGCTAAGCGCTTGCTTTACCACCGTTCCGCTCCAGCCAGTTGCATATTAAAGGTACACAATTCCAGTTTACATATCTGAGACCTTAGTGGGATAGTAAGAGGAAAAAACTGCATTTACAGTGTGATAGTTTCTGGGTACGTCAGACTTTCGCACTTCACACAAAAGTCCATATTTTGATCAAATACAATTTGTGCCACAATGCAATATAATCTCGAATCACTAAAACAAGTACCATATTGGAAGTATGATGACATCGTTAACTGAAAAATTTCATATTTTGATCGCCTTCTGCTCTAATCTTCTGTTAGGTTTACAAAGATGACAGTTTTTTTCTTAGATCTTTATTAGTTTATGTCCAAGGCGCGCACAGAGGTAACATCAAAGATAATTCAACACATCAATCAATCAAGCTTAATTGCATATAAAATTATGTCAAACTAATAAAACAAATTAAATAATTCCTTCATCAAAATGTCAAAATAATTCCAAACCACGAAAAGGACAAAAGTTTGACTTGTGATGCTTCAACTTTGTTGAGCTTGGGAATGCGTGTCACACCTAATTTTTCAAAGCGGACTTTTTCCACTTGTAAGCGCGGTAACAAAAGCAATTAATGGTATATTCAATTTCCAGTGAGAATTCGTTAAGTATTTGTCAATTCGCAAACAAAGTTATCGACAGCTGAGGAAATGAATCTCCATTTCAAAGTTTCGCTAATGGTTTAGTCTACGCCTTCCGGCACAACTAATCTCGCTGTTGACAATACAGTTAAAACTCCTGTTTTATGCAAACAAGTTAATTTCCTCTTGGAAAATAAGAGACAGGAAAGATGGAACAATTTAGTTTGCTTTTTAAAGTGAAGCAGCTGCATCAATGGTTACAAGATAAGGAAAGCGTGGTGAAGCCTCATTCAGTGCCTCGAATAAGATTTTGAAGACTGGGTAGCAAAATCGTAAGCCGGCACAGCTATAACCTAAGGTAAAAAACTAATTTGAGAACTAGTTTTGGTAAACTCATTCCAGTTCTACAAGCAACTTATACGCTTTACTTGCTGATTATTCTTAGAAGGAACTTGAACAACTTCGTGTAATGACTACTGTTAACTAAAGCCCCAGCTAAGAGCTTGAGAACTCACCATCAAAACTGAAGAATGCCAAATTTACAAGTTGGATGCTACCATCTTTCCTATATCCGTTATGACAAGCTTTAGTTTCTCTCTCTGAGCAGGTTCTCTAAACGATATGCCCGCTTTTTGGAGAACATTTCCTCTTGTCACTTTGCGGTTAAAAGAATTCCAGTTTCTTAATATCTCCGTACGCGCCTGAGTATCAAGCAGTCTGGAAAGTTAAAAAGGCGTTTAATCCAAAGAGTTAATCATCCTTCTTTCTTACAGTTAAAGTGCGGCCAAAAGGAAACCTTTCGTTTTGAAAGCACGCATGACGAAATACCCTTTTCTTGGTTGCTTTAATGACCATTGCTCTGCTCAACTGTTACGTAAACTTTTGTTTTGACTACTTAAGTCGGAATTTATCAATTCTATGGATAAACTGTTAGGAAATATTTTATGGCTCGGGTCATGGTTATGGAAGTTTACTCAGATATTCGAATATCGGCCATAATCCTTAGCAAAAGCTTTTGTGCTTTCCCACCCCTCTGAGTGGTAAGAGGCAAAAATGCCCTTTGATGCCCACACATGAGCATACAAGACTGAAAATGGACACAGCGATACAAATCAAATAGTCCCTTTCAATTACATCGGATTGAAAAGTATAAGAAAACTGTTTCAAAGATGTTAAATTTTTTTTTGGCGAATGTAAACGGTGTTTCCATTGCTTCACCAGTTGATTGATCTTTGTAATGGTGCATTCTCGTAGTCTGTAATATAAATATGTCAGTAGTGACTCGCTTTTGTCATTTTCCTGATTGAATTAAGGAAATCATGTTTATTACTTTCCAAGCAATTGAGCTTCTCTCCATCTTGTTTCAATTTGGCAGGAGTACCATGAATCACCGACTAATTGCATTTATCCTCTTGGTCACATTTGTCATCTCTACAAGAGCTTATTTCCTTCGTACAGGGGGAAAACGAGGGGCAGTTTTACACAAGAAACGTTCTTCACTTTGGAAAGCTCGCTTAGCAAACACGCGTGGTCTCAAAGGTAAATAGTGTACGTACTCAAACATCCCATTAGTGAACTGTGTATTGATGCTTCTTAATTTGCCTTGTTTACAGAACAAGTTGCCGTAAAATTAAACTAGAAAATTAGATTAAATCTAACAGAAGCTAAACAAAATAAGACTTCCTTTTTAAAAATGACTGGGAGCAAACAAAGTGTTTTCTCAAATGCAACGTGATACATCAAGAGCCTGCCTTACCGCCGATTGGTACGGGAGGAGGAGGGGGGGAATGGGGCGGGCAGAATGGAATGTAGTAACTGTCTATACGTGGATCTAAAGGAGACTTTCCTAGGTTTGAAGCACGTAAAAAGGCAACGGGGAAGGGAGGGGGGGATTTCGTTTTGTCACGATAAAAATTAATCTGACCCCCCTTTTAGGTTCTGCAACACTCTGATGAATCCCCCTCAGCTCATTGGCAGTCAATTGGAAGTCGATTTTCTATTGTCCCCCCCTCCCTTACTTTATACTGTTGGCCCCCCCCCCCCCCCCCCCCCCCCCCCCCCAACCCAAAAAGAAAAATTCTCTCCCCCTGGGCTATGAATAAAGAAGAAAAGTTTAATGCCTCAATGATCATAGTCTTGATAAATTAGTAGCGAGTATCTGAATCATAGAAAAAAAACATTAATTTACATATTCCCTTTGTGTTTTAGAAGGTTTGAATGATATGCTCTGGTCATGGATGGAAGACGACAACAAAGAAGAAGACAAATTGAACGATAAGGAAATGTCGGAATAAATTATCGTGAATGTGGCCTTGCTATTTATTTAACCAGAAGCCTAACAAGTACAAAAAGATATCTTGTGCAAAAACCGTTCTCTGGTTTTAAATCATTAAAAACGTAGGTTTTCATTTCGGATATCAGTTAAGAGCCTTCGTTTTTAATGATTTTTACCAAAGAACTCTTGTACGCGCGATGAATATGCGTGATGTAATTATTGTGAATAAATAAATGAGTAATAGTAAATGAAGTAAATGAATAAATGAGAAACAATGACTGCGGTTGTTGGCTGTTTGTAGTGTTGAAGAGAGGGCGAAATTAGTAAAGTAGCACTTATAGCCACTTGTACACTTTCATTCTGCCTGAGGAATCCTTTTCCTCCAACATAAAGCGTTTGTCCTAAAAAGGTGAGACAAAGACTAGGTATAGCCGCGTTGCGTGATGCACTCAAAAGTAACAACAACTAATGCAACAGTTAGAATTTGACAACCCCTGAACTCCTTCATTATTCTTTCGATAATTTTCTAAAATTATGTAGATAGTCGCATGTAACAAACACTCGAAAATTTAAAGGCCAAGCTCAATTAGTCCAGGTTGGCCTCTAAAAAATTCTAAAAACGTGACAGTATGCAAAATGTCTTTGTACTTCTGCAGACCTTCCTTTTATTATCCTGCAAAAAAAATAACAATCCAAATGGTTATGATATCTCCAATTAGGCACAGCACACTCGACTAGAATAACGGCTCTTGCTTATAGATGTTTGCATGTCCAATGTATTGCTCATAATATTTATATCTGTTTCAAACACCGTTCAGGGAAGATTGTGTTATGACTTTTTGCGTGACCATGATCCCGTCTAAGACACCGCCCGGGAAGGAGCGGTGTCTAAGCGAAAACAACATGGCGGCCTGCGAATGGTAAGTGATATCACGGGGAAATAGTTCGCTTTTGGACAATTTTCAACCTTTTCAACTGTTTTCTTCCTTTAGACCTACTTTGTAACATTGATTTTTCACTATTGGGTGATAAAACTTTTTTTCTAAGAGACAATCATAATTTTCATAGTAAACTGTTGGAAAGATAGACATGATACTGGGAGACTGCTAATTTACCCAGTTAACAATCTCGCTCTCCTTTCCACAGGGTTGCTCGTACCAGGAAATATGAAAGGGAGAAAAACGTGCTTCCGAGTGAGACAGCAATCGATCATCCACTGAAACTGGGTTCTGTGATTGTAAGTAGGAGAAAATGAAGCTAAGACAAAACACTAATCTTGCTGGAGCTGATCTCCTCAGCTCCCCATACCCATGGTTAAATTTATATCCAGAGAAATCAACACTTTGTCATTCTTTACTCTTGTAATGGCAGAAATTAAGTAGTGAAATGTTTAGCTACCTTCTTAGTAATTTTATGAAATATTTAAACGAAAAACAGGAAAAAACTTTGTAGACTTCGCAGTCAACCAACCCAGTAACCTTTGTTTTCGATGTGATTTAAAGGTATACAATTCTTTCACACTTGAAAACGTTTCTTGCAGAACGTTGATAACAGTCGCAAAAAATCGAGCACTCCTTCTGATAGTTTATCTAAAGGCACTCCTGCAGCTGATCCTTCGAGTTTGATTCAAGCAAAACCTGACGCGTTTGATGGGCTGGATCCATTGTCAATGTTTGCTGCTCAGGAAGCCAGTACAAAGAAAACATCATCAGTTTCTGCACCAGCATCAAAGAAAGAACAGGTTTGTACTCATTGTGTTTACTTTATGTTTTACTGCAATAAATTCGTACAGATCAAGTTTTTTTTGTATGTAGTTTTTACCATAAAATCAAATCAGAAGGGGATGACTTTAGACCGGCGAAATGACTTACTAACAGTTTTATTACTTTTTTGTTTCCTCAGTCATCCTCTGTATCTAATAAAGAAAAAAGCCAAAGTGACTTTAAACCATGGCTCAAGAAGAGAGCAGGAATCCTTGCTAAATATACAACCTCACAAAAACTGTCCATTAGCACGGTAAGCTAACTACATGTTGCAGTTCAGTGTTTAGGGATTCACTTATTTTCAGTGTTGCATAATTTTGCTGATCTTACTTTTGGTACCATCTACTAATAGTGATAAATTTATTTTTCTTGACAGAGTTTCTTGTCATCATCTGAAAAATCTGAAAAGAGTGAGTTGTTCAAATAACTATCCTTCTCTTGTACTATTTTAATAATGCTAACATTGGGAACTAATATTTAATGAAGGTTGTCAATGATATTTAACAATAATGTCAGATATGAGATGGTTGATAGCCAACAAGATGCATAGCACCAAATTGGCTTCAACAAATCTTGCACCCAACAAGTGCAAAATGTAGTTAGTGTTTTATCATATTAAATTGTCCACAATGCTTAATAGAAGTGTTTTTTTCCAGCCTAGGTAAATCCAACTTAGCAACACTTGGGGAAATTTTTTTTCAAATGAGATGATTCTGTATATGGGCTGATAACCAAAGCTGAGTGAACCAATCAGAATGCTAGAAATGGAATGTCTGGAATTTGAAATGTAATAAATTCATAGAGTGCAAAATTAATTTGTAGAAATCAACAAAAAATAAGTCTCTTTTTTGTTCAATATTTTTCAGTGGTAATCAAGCAGCAAACAACAGTTGCAGATAAAGTCAAGCACAGACTAGAACAGTTAGATGACTTTGAAGAAGTAAGGAAGAAGATTGAATCAAAATATATTTAGTGAAACACAGTATTTGTTGCTAGGAATGGGTTGGGAAAGAAAAGTTTTGTATCATTTAATGTTTGAAAGGAAGAAACTTATTTCAAACGTAATATAATAATTTATCAAATAAATTATGTTGTCACAGAGATATTGGATAGGAGAGGTTTCTATTTATAGGAGTGTGTTTATCATCTTTCCTAGTTCTTCCAATATTTATTCTACTGATGTTATTCATTTGTGAATCTTAAGGATTCTGACTAGTTTGATTTCCATTTCTCTACAACATGTATGCAACATGTAAAAGAAATCTCTGCTATATTTTGTAGGGCTCAGTCAAAGAAATGCTGAATCTGAGTCAGCAGGATTATGTCAAGAGAATCGAAGAGCTAAACCAGGTGAAAAGCTTATTTTTTTGTTCTTACTACTAATGGTTTGAATTAGGGGGTTAAACTCAGTCATACAATGTATTTGCATGGAAGTGTGTTGTCTTACATGTAGAAAGGATTGTTATGGATTGTAGAAAGCTATGTCCAGACACACTAAACTCAAGTCATGATCAGAGAACACAATGCCATATCTTGGCTTGGCTGATGCCTTCTACTCAGGGTACTGAGGAACTGTTACTGACCTAGGTCTCTTTCATAACATCCCTCATTTAAGTCGTCTCAATGCAGGATCAGTTGGAATGTTGATGAAAATCAGTTGATCTTTGTGGAGAGTAATGCTTCACAATGTGACAAACAACCAGGCACCCTCAGAGGATTTGCAGTATACTGTGAAAATGTCATGGTCTACATTTTAAGGAAACAGCATTGTGATACAAACGAGACTGCTAAATTAATCACTCATGAATTCACCTCAATGAGTAATCTCAATCTTTTAACACTTCAAGTTAAAAATAGAGAAATAGTTCTTTACTGAGCTCAAATATTTTGAGCTCAGTAAAGAAATGGAGCAAGATGTTTTTCCTCTTGTCACAAGCATGGGACAAATAACAAATTTTGAGTCCTCATGAGGAATCAAACCTCCGATCTTTGGATTCTGGGCTCTGATGTTCTACCACTGAACCACAGAGACTTTATGCCGAACAAGGTCTATTACTGCAGGTGTGAGGTTTGATTCCTCATAGGAACTCTGAATTTTTTCTTTGTCCCACACTAGTGAAAAGACAAAACAGATCTTTTTCTATTTCTTTACCAAGCTCAAAACTTACAAACATTTACAAACATGATGCTATTGACAAAGCTGATCCTAGCAGTTAGCATATGTGTCATATGAATTTTGTAGTAGACCTCACTCACTGTAGAGTCTCTGAGGCTCAGTGGTAGAGCATTGGAGTGTGGAATTCAAAGATCTGAGATTTGATTCCTCATAGGGACTCAGAATTGTTTCTTTGTCCCAGGCTTGTGACAAGACAAATATGTCTTTATCTACTTTAAGTTGTGTTGCTATTTTGTATCATTATTTAATCTTGAAGGATGATTGATTAGGCTGCTCTCCGAAAACATTCCATTGCAATACTCATTTTTTGTGGATTATTTTTCTTAATAGGCCTTGATCACTGCTTGGGAATCAGATCAGAGGGTGAAGGCTCTCAAGATTGCCATTCAGGTCTGTACAACTCAGTTAAACTGTATTAAACACCAAGAAAGACACAAGATATTTAAGAACACATATTTGAAAAAAAGGTTAATGTGTTGCTGCCATTATTGATCAAAGAATTGAAAGGATCCTGTGTAGAGGTAGAGTGAGAACAATTCATGAGGGAAATTTTGAGTTGTGTCATTAAACACAGTTCTGAAATTCATGTGTAATGATCACAGGGAAAAGTTTTGCAATGGGTGCCTGAAAAGCAGAGTGTTCTGTTTTCCTGGTCACTTGAGTTCATGTCTAATTGATGTTTTTCTTTTAGTGTGCAAAGCTTCTTGCTGATGTGTCTGTAATTCAGTTTTACCCAAGCAAGTTTGTGCTTGTGACTGACATACTGGACACATTTGGTAAGTTAGATTAAAGTTCTGACAGAGTGAATTCAGTTTTGCAATTATATTCTTTTTCTGACATATTACATGTACATGTGCTCCTGTGGTATGTCCAAGGAGTCAAGGTCTGGGTTGTCTGGAGTAAGCATGAACTCTGGCTGGATTGTCCTAAAAAATGTGAATGTTCTTTCACAGGGAAGCTTGTGTATGAAAGAATTTTCCGCAAATCAAGTACTTTTACACCAGGCAGTAATATACCCACCATGCTTCCAGGTAAGGATTTTGAGACCAATAAAACCATTTCTATTTAAGTGATACTTAAAATCTGTCATGAATATGATCTCTGTGCATGTTACTTTAAATGATCACTTTGACTCTATAACCATTCACTGATGGTTTTTGGGTACAATAAACAGCTAGCCAAGTGGAGCTTACAATTGTTTCAGAAGGGAAGTTCTACTTAGTCCACAACTTATGGTATAGCTTATCATATCTGAGTTGTCTTTGTGGCCACTATTCACATTCTTTTGAACTTCTAAGTCCACTTGTCCTCATGACACACTATCACTATTTTCAACACAAGCATGTTTTGTTTGCAAACAACATGTATCCCTATATTGAAAATATTTGCTCAGAAAATACTTTAACCCAGTAATCTCCTAAGGACCTTCAATTTCAAACTCTTCTAGAAAAGTGTTCCTGTCCCTCAGTTAAGCCTCTTCCCAGCTTTTATTCAAAACTTGGCTCACTGCTTAAAGTTTCATGAACAGTTTTAGATTTAGTTAAATGCAGTCAACAACTCTTATTTGTAATTTTCATTTCTCTTTTTTCAGAAAACTTCACACCTGACCAGGTGCCAGACTCAGCCAAGGAAACTTGTAGGAACTGGTTTTACAAGATTGCTTCAGTGCGAGAACTTATTCCTCGGTTGTATCCTTGAAATTTCCTTTATCATGATACATGAGATTGGAATCATGTCAGAAGTAGGAATTATAGTTTGCTTTTTTTTAATTACTGATTCTTGTCCTTTGCCTCATTATAAGCCTCAAGGTTAAAATAATGCTTTAAATACTGTGGAGATATATCTCACGGCTTTTGCCTCATCAGCACAAAGTTTATATTCCTTGACACACTGAAGCTATGTGGAGACAGCTATATTGAAATGCTATAATTTCTTTACAACTGGGTAAGTATGCATGTGATCAGGAGTTAAAAGTTCTGTTGCATTGCATGGAGTTTCTTGATGTTTTTTTTTTATTTACTCTCTATGTACATAGCACTTGAAGGTAGAGATGTTTATTGGTATTCAACTCTAAAAATTGCTCTTAAAAGTTAGTTGTATTCCTGTTTCAGGTCAACAAAATTTTATCTTAGTAAAAATAGATAGGTATATTAATTTCCAATGCTTGAATTTTGAATCCTGTTTACAAATTTGACCTTTAACATTTTTCCACAAATATTGATCTTGGAATTGAAATATTTTACTCATAATTGCCTACGCATCGATTATTTACAAATTAATTTTACATTCCAGTGAGTTTTCACAAGCTCTTGTTCGCCTCACCAAGATGATACGAGGTATTGGTGACCCTCTGGTTGCTGTGTATGCAAGAACTTACATCTGTAGGGTAAGTGACTGAGGAGTAGCTGTGTAACCAGAGCTTATTCCAGTTTCCATTATACTAAGTGACCAGACTGCACTAGTAATTCTATTTCCCTTAGACAGGATACATTTCTCTTGTAGTTTACTGCTTCTCATTATGTTAGGTTTCTCTGAATGTTCACAGGAACCCATATCATTTACCTCTGGGTGGAGACAGGCAATAAGGGAATGTCTCATCCAAGAACATGACATAGTGACCCCAGCTGGGACATGAAATTGGACCTCTATATCCAGAGTAAATCATTTTAATCATTAGGTCTCCCCAAAAAGATTTTATAGATACATGTAAAGTAACATTCAGTGGCTTAGTGGGTAAGTCTTTACTGTCACCACTGTGTTGCTCTCCTTGAGCAAGATAAGTTTTCTCATACAGTCTCTCTAGAATATTTATCAACAGCTTCTGTTTCTTTATTTGTTTTGAACTTCACACCAAACTTGTCCAGGAAAAACTAAGCCAAACCCCTCACCAGATAGCATTTTTTTAGGGGCACAGTCAGACAACATGTAAACATAGTTTAAAGTTATAACTAAACATATGTATTCCTGCACTGATGCGGAAAGATCTGTTATTATAGACAATATTATTTTTCATTCTCTTCACTACTATTTTAGGTTGGTATCCTTGTGGCACCTGATGTGTGTGATCATTTGATTGAAAACTTGTTCAGTTTCATAGTCAGCTATAAACAGGTGACTGCTGAATTAGAGTACTGGTAAAAGCTTTGGAAACTTGTCTTATGGTCATCTCTGTAAATTGGCTCATGGAAGTGATGATTATGACATGAAAGTGACTTTATCTCTCCCTTCATTATTTCAGCTTCAAGGTGATACAGTGCAGAATATTCTGGCAGAGCAGAGGCTTGGTAAGTAACACTTCCTTAGGAAACGTGTTAGTTTCTTTCAGTAGCTTTTTTAAAATCCAAGTACAGTTAACATAGTGCTTGCTTCCAAGCTACATGTTGGCCATATATTAGGTTCCTATGAGATATATGTTTGCCATCTTAATCCATTTGACCTCAAAGACATCACCATCCCATATCATCTGTTATCGCTCCTACTTTATCTCTTCTGAAAGAAATCAACCATCCATTTTAATTGTGAATTCTCCAGAAATGCACCAGTACCTTCAGTTGTATCCGCCAGCTTTAGACTGGATCCTACAGTGTATTGCAGAGAAGAGCCCAGAGGTGAGATAAATATATGGACCTTGTGCTTTGGGTATCATACGTTTAGCTTGGTGGACTTAGTTTGTGATAAAGTCACCAGTGCCTTTTTTTCCCTAATAAATCTGTTTTCTTCCTTAGTCTACACTTACAGATATCTTAAATCGTTGCCAAAAGGAATGCAACAGGTGCGTGAAGTGGTGTATTTTATTGAGAGAGAACCAAGTTTGAATTATTACTTTGCTGAGGTTTGTTTGTTTGTTTGTTTTTTTTTTTGCAGTGCATTACTTCTGAATTCAATCATCACAGAGTTTAAGCCAGAATACATTGCTGAGAGGTTGGTCTAAAGTGGAGTATAAAACAATAAATTATTATTGTGAAAGAGATAAACATGGAATCGGTTTGGTTTCTAGAAACATGATTGCAAACATTTCTTAAGACATTTTCCTCAGTGTATTTTGACTTTTTCCCGTTTGTGTCACCTTAGGGCTCTGCAGTTCACTGAACTGATAAGAAATTGTGAGGAGGCAGGATTCCCAAAGGTAACTGTGGCTTGATCGTGAGGAAGAGCTCTTTTCAACTGAGTGTAGTTTAACTGAAACCCAAGTGTACACAACGAAGATTCAAAGTATTATAAGACATCTCATCTCATTGTCAGGAGACAGTCAAAACTCAACTTATGCACACGTACATTAAGGCGACCTTCCGCGCGGGAAAGTGAGCAGGTTACTTAAATTCTGCACCCTGATTGGCTGCGAGAGTGGCGGGAGTTTTCTAGACCAATTAGAGAGCTTTGTAACACGAAAGTAACTCAAAACGAATGCAGTCCCGGAATTCATTTACTTTTAACGTCATTTGAATATTTGTCCCTATAAACACTACCAATCTCTTAATGGCGACCTGCTGAATTACGTGGAATTACGCTATAACAATGCATCTATTTTGTCATCTCCAGCATCACCTGTACAAATCACTTGGGATGAACTTGAGCCAATGTGATCCGCCTGAAGCACAGAGACTACAAATTCTTAGCGAGGTTAGATGCTTCAACCATCAATTACCGCTAACTCTGTAAATTCGTAATTTGTTACTCAGCATCCGAAATTAAAACTTTTCATGACAATTCTGAAAGACATAAGATTAAAGATAAATGTAGTAAATAGAATAAAGTAAAAAAGCAAGGGAAAGCGAATACAAAATGTGCGAAATCGAATTATTTAGAACTCTCAATGTTTAAACACTTCTTTGTTACTAATAGTGGTGATATTTTATCTTTTGAAGGTTTGGAAGGTTGTAATGAAAATGAAACATCCCCCTGTGAGTAACCTTACTTTAAACTTCTCTAGCGTCTGTAATTTATTGACTTTGTGTAATAAGAGCATTTTAAAGTTCTATTGTTTAAAAGGGTTTCATAACAGATGTAAGGTAAGTGTAGTTAAATTCGAAAAAAAAAATCTGCTGTGTCACTCAACTTTGTAAGAGCTAATCAATATTCCTCTTTTGTTTACAAAAACTTTCTCTCGTTTCACCGATTTTCTCAGGACTACATAGGCTGTGCGGAGGCCTGGATAGAGTACGTTTGTAAGAACTTCACGGTAAGTGTTACTGTCTTACTTAAAGTTATGTATCTCTGGGTCGGAAACCGATCAGAGTTGTACGATAACCAACCAGCACCAATCTTAAGTTAATTGCATTAAAAAAAGAATACGGTTGCTTGTCTTAAAACTCGTGCGGCTCCGTTAGAACATCTCGGCGCAAAAGTCGAATCTCTATCTCCTAATGCCGACAATGAAATAAATCTAGGAGACAAATTTTCAATCCTTGAATCGTGCATTCAATAATTTTTGAAGGACTGTCAATGATCAAAGTATGTGTATATGACTGAAAACCCTCTTTAGAAACGCGAAGTCAACACCCTCATCGGAGACGTTATCAAGCACATGACACCGGAAAGGGCATTTGAACAACACTACCCTCAGGTATTGCTGCAAAATATGATCCTTGGTAAGATAAACAACCCATGCACTAGCAAAAGAATTAAATCTCAATGAAAGTTTCATTACATAGGAATAACCTTGCCTTGTCAAACCCTTTGCCATTGTAAAAACTTGATTAACCGAAAAGTTATTTTCAAGTTCCTCCGTACAAGATCAACTTAAAGCTTTTTTCACTTCAGTATCAAGGTCCTCAGACATTCAGCATAGACATTCAAAATCTCTGGTTCAACAAGTGTAACAAGTCTTAATAAAAATTTCAAAATACGTTCTTTTATTAGGTTCTTCTCTGCTTTGATTCATTTTTTTTCCTTTTATTGTTTTGCTTTACTCTGTTTTTGTTTGGTTAGCTATTTTCATCATATCATTTTACCTATTTCTCCGCTGTCGCTCCTTTATTGTTAGTTATATATACCACTAGTTAAGGAAGCCCGTACTCAACGAGTCCCATGTTTCTCTGGGCTTCCCGGTATTTTCTCCAAACTGAAAATAGAGTATTAATAGTTTCAAGATGGCAAAATAAATATAAATGATAATAATAATGATAATGATAATGATAAACGTTATCTCTGTTTCCAACAGCTTCAGTCGATTATTTCCAAAGTACTAGACCACATGCACGACTTCTCTGTTCTTGTATCAATGGTAAGTTCACTCCTGAACGTTTGATTTAGTTTCCTTTCCAACAAAACAAACATATCTTTCGTGTAGAATTACTTAAATCGGTTTTCTATGTGTGTATCTTTTTTCTCCAGGATAAGTTTCTTCCTTTCTTGGACATGTTTCAAAAAGAATCAATCAGAGTGGATGTTTGCAAACTGATTGTGGAAGCTTTTGTGAAGTGAGTGGCTTTTTTTAAAGGCATGCTAATGTGAGTTTCTGCAGCAACAAATCTAATTTTGCTATTCGTTAAACCTCTGATCGTTGTTGTTTTTTCTGGAGTGACTCGCCCTTTGCGTTCGCCTCGGTTCTTCTCGCGTTTCCGTCGTGCCTATCACCGCTCGACTGAAAATCGCCAAAGAATTACCCCTGTTCAACAAGGTAAACCAAATTGTTTGCATAACTTTAATTTAACATGTGAGCATTAAAAAAACTATGGTCACCTTGACAGATACCAAGAGGAACCTACGAATGACCCGGTGGTTGTGAACTCTTTGCTGTATGTTTGTAAAACGATGCACGACTCTGTAAAGTAAGTGCCCAACGGTTTGTCATCACAGTAGTTATTCTTAGTTTAAAAAAAAAACATTCTTCTATTGTAGAAGATGAAAAAAATAGCATTTTTTAATGAGATGCTTGTCTTTATTTTCATCAGTGCATTGACCTTGATAGACGAGAGGAGAGTCATTGGTCATCTGATCACAGGATTCCTACGTAAGGTACGAATCTTGGATTGTAGTTCGTTTCAGTGATTTGAACCAATTTGTTTTCATTTGTGTCTGGAAGCCGATATCGAAGCTCTGATAGGACACGAAGAGTCTTGTCTTTGATAAGAAAATATCTGAAATTTTGCTATGAAAAGAGTATCATAAGGATTTATCTTCAATTTCAAAGTCATTTGATCTTGAGAAGTTTACTTACCGTTTCAGATTGACTTTGGCCGTGATTTTGAGAGGCAACTGGATTCTTTTGTGGATGCACGTTCCTCTTTCTCCAGTCTAGAAGCTGTTCTTGTGATGCTTGTGCAGGTAATTAAATCTTAATTTGAGCGCGCGTCGATGATTGTCGACAAGCAAACACTAAAATATCCACAACGGCTAATAGCAAAGGAAAATATCACGGTGTCGATGGAGCTCAAAATACAAAAAACGAATTGCTTGGTTTTAGATTCGGTTTAAATTTTGTATTTGATTTGAGACATTTTTAGCGTCACAGAAATTCATGAAATCAGATCTGCCAGGACACACGTGCGTCATAGACACACCCAATCGTTTACTGTAGTCATAACGGTGCTCTTGTACCTTTTGCCTTTGTTAACAGAGTGTTAATCTTCTCGCCATGAAAACTCGAGAAGTAGTCAAAGGGAACCACACTCGAAAGACTGCGTCCTTCATCAGAGTAAGAGGAGAGGATTTGCTTGATTTTATCTCTCAGTGCTTACAATAATTTGACTAAACATTGTTCTGCCTTGTCTCCTACAGGCTTGTGTTGCCTACTGTTTCATTACCATCCCCTCCATAGATGACGTTTTCTCTCGCCTCAAGCTCTACCTCCTGTCAGGACAGGTTGCCATGGCAAATCAAGCCCTCAGTCAAGGTCAGTAGATCTCTATGGGATAGGCATGCGCATCTGGTTAGACAGCAACCGTTAAACTCAACTTGAAGTCAATGCTTCTTAGCGATGGTTTTATTCGTTTCATTGGTCACGGAAAATTGTTTTTGATTGGAATGAAACATTTAGAACCAAACGATGTAACGCCATTTGTATTTCACGTTTCAGCGGATGCATTTTTTAGAGCGGCGATCAGTCTTGTTGCTGAAGTGCCACGAACGATTGGTAAGATCACTGATTCAGAACAACAAACTATCTACCTCGTACGTGCTCGTAGTAGGAATGTTCTGAATGAGAAAGTAACAATGAATCAAACAAACAAAGAAAACTATAGATAACATTATTTTTCTAAGGTGTTTTGTTTGATTGGGGTAACGTTCAGTTTATAGTTCCTGTAGATCCTTTCCCCCGAATACAACACCTGTATATTTATATTTAACGTAGAAAAGTCAGAGGGATGTAAGTCGAATTATTCCGAAATAAGAGATCAAACAAGCGAAAACTGTGATGTTTGTTTGTGTGTTTTCTTCGTTGTTTTTCTAGAAATTGACCACAAGGTGAAATCGTCGGAGCCATACCTTCTTGCCTACATGAACAGCTTTTTCTCCACCTTGTTGGTAGTACCGGTACGTTTGTACGATATAATGACTGCAGCTCTTGTTGGTAATGATAACTGTGAGTGAGTGCACCAAAGTGTAGTCATTACAATCGGTAAATGTAACTAGGAACCAATGAAAAATTAAGAGAAGCGCGGGAAACGCCAATCACCAAGTCGCCATTATTTTAGGCTTGCATCTGATTGGGTGAATAGATGACGTGACTTTTCTAGACCAATCACAGTTCGAAATGAGGCAAAACCAATACAGTCCCGTATTACCTTTGTCACCTTATCATTGCTCTGTTACAGAGTGCACTTTTTTTATTTTATTATTTTTTTTCAGGACTCGCCAGATCAAGGCGCGCTGCATCTTGTTCGAGGCCTGCTTAATGTTGTACAAGAGTACACTTGGGAAATAAACAGCGGCGCCAAAATGAGTATTTACCTAAATGCCGTTTGCCTTCTCTCCGCCATGAGTCAGGTGGGTTTGTGTGTTATTGTATCTGTATGATCGTTCAAGTTCACGTGGTCTTCACGAGCATACGCGCGAGTCTCGCGCGATTTGTTCGTAAAAGGCTTTTACTCCTTTTTCCTTGCAAACATTCATTCATAGAAAAGAAGTATGGCTGAAATTTTCATCTCTCTTTGCAGGAATATTTCATTTATCATGTTGATAAAGGTAGGTTATTAAGTTCCTAATCTAAACGTCTCTATTTCCACCCGTTTTCTCTTTCAGTATGAAATAATATCTTGGTTTGATAACAAGGAATTTGAAAGTACAAGGAAGAGTTGTTGCTTGTTGAAAAAAATATTCCACTTTACCGTAAAGAAAGCGAGTTAGGTTAATTTTATAAGATAATTTGTATGTTTCTTTTTTCATGTATTGATTCGTTTGTTTGTTTTCAGTGGATTCGAATGACAGATTGTACGGTTGTGATAAGAAATTTCTAGCAGAGATAAATCGACTAGTTTTTACGTTAATGGAGGCTGTGTTTGAACACTTAAAGTCCTTGACCTCCGAAGAGGTAAGTCTTCTTGACATTTTCCACGCTGAAAGGCCTCGCTAACTGAGCATTTTATAACCATCGCATGACTTTAAGGGATTCTTTATTACATACAGTTAGTCTTAATTTTTTATTGATTCTGTTAAAATCAAAAAATTATTTACTTCTTAAAACTTTTCTTTCTTCCCATGCTAATTTAGTGATGCAGGTGTAAAATTCTGTGCAACACTAAGAAAAACCTTGTTTGTGCTGAGGCAGGAACAGTGTTTGTACAGATACTATAACAGTCTTGTTATGTCCTTTATTGTTAGGAGCTCAAAAAGCAGGCCGCTATAGCTATTGGGTTCTTCAACAGGTCAGCAAAAGTGAACCTAGTTTATATGTTTGTCTTTGAATGATAATTAACTTCGTCGCAGTGGATCTTAAAGGTCTCTTTCATGGTGCACCTATTGACAAGAGAAGCACAATTTTGAAACCAGAAAAAAAAACTTTTATAAATACCGTATGTTTTTCGTCTATTCTGAGGTAGCGATGGAAAACGCTTTGAATTTGTCCATGTTTACTATCAAAAGAAATGCGATGCTTTCTTGTTGGGATGTCAGTGTTGTTCAACAGGATATAAATCTTTTTCATTAGAATACTTCACTGGACAATTTTTTTGTATTGTTTTCAAGGCTGTTGTGTCATGCTGATCTCTCACAACCTCAGTTAGCTACACTGGCCCTTAACTTGTGGAATCTCGCTCAGAAACATGGCTATGGGAACACAAAATACACAGTAAGTACAAATACTTTCAGAACTCTAACTACACATGATAACTAAAAGAGACTTCGAGCTCATAGACCAGCGGACACAGTTGCTTACTATGACCGCTGACCGCAGCCGTTAGTGCAACGCGCCATAAAAGTGTTAGAGCAAAAATTAGATGATCGCTGCATCCACGCGTAGATTTAACTTGATGAATAACATGTTATGTCCAAGAAAAATTCATGTCCTAGTCTGTCATTTAGGTCGATGGACGAAAGTACAATTACTTTTCCGTTTAAAAACCTCGGTAATCCCTAGTAATCTTCGCAAACCCCCAAATGACCATCGGCAACTTGTGGAAATCTTCATAGCCTTGTTAATTTCTTTGTTTTTGTTACTTCAACAGATGCGCACACTTGAGTATGTCAAACAGAAAGGTTCCTCGGGACACAAGGAATATGCGACCATTGCACAGAAAATGAACCTACAAACAAAAATTTAAATGTTCCTTCGTCCTATGCAACGGTTTCATTCCATGACTAAAAGTGTAATTACTGAGAAGAAATTACGGCGTTATTTTAGAGAGTTGATTACAGCCTCATTAACAGATTATTAAAAAAAAAAATTATATCTCGTCCGCATAGAGGGGATCTGTAGATACAACAGGGATTTATGTAAAATCCTCGAGTATTCCATAGTGTAGGACGCTTTTATTGACTTTGACTTACAAGAAAAAGTACCGCGCTGTATTCCCGCGGAATCACTTTCTCCTAAAAGCGACTCTTTGAGCATAAGTGTGTTCAAACAATGGAGACTTAAACAATTTCTTTGAAGAGTGTATGACTTCAGAGAGAAGTTGTAGTCGGTGATCCTCAAAGGAATTACTTAGAAAAGATGTATACTCTGGAAAGCTTCATGGTCCTGTTAATGACTGTAAAAAAGGAGCACGATTGTATTTGGTAACAATAACCAGATAGGTACCTTTCTGATTGAAAAGTGATAAAACTGTGGCTACTGTGGAGGTAACTTGTTTGTTCCTCCACCTTACCCCATTCTTGCAGAATCTCGCACTGAAATGACGATGGCTATTGCGTTTTTTTACATCACATTTCCGATTTGCCCATTGTTTCATTAATAGAAGGTCGCACTCATATTCTCAGAGAATCGTAATGTCTCTAGTCGCTTTTCAACGCCCAGGGACAGCTCTGTGTTTTTCAAAGACACTCTTAGTTTTTTGTATTTTATAATCTCTTTACCGGTCTGGAAGTGAAAAACTCAAGCCCTGTCAAGTTTCTTTAAGTGCGCATTTTTGAATGACTTCCTGTAGAGAAAACGATATTGATATAGTTAATTTTTTTTATAGTTTTATGAAGTGCTGTCACTTGAAAGAGGTTGATTAATAATAACTTGGTTCGGTTGATTAATTTCCGAAATTTGCGGGGGAAACAGTTATTCGAGCAAAATCAAATTAAATGCTCTGTTAGCTACGATAGGTGTCAAAGCTGTGAAGCCGATGGGGTGGTTTGAACTATGCATTGGAAGCGACGGTTCGCAAACGAAAGACCCGCCACGGGGTCCTAACATGTTCTGTTCATTAATAGTTTAATTAGTCCCTAGATAACACCGTAACCGGCAATCATGCTAAGATACGCATTTGTACCAGTCCTAAAAGGGTAAGAATTGATAAAAAGAGCCTCTGCTTGATTTAGCTTAGCCTTGTTACTAGTGCACCAATGCCATGCTGTATAGAGACAATGGTTTATAGAAAACTTGTAACTTCATTTTTTAAATGCATTGATGGATCAAACCGTTCGCTTTTATTCAAACGCGTTTAAAATATAGGTGGAGTAAGTGAACGATGAAATGCACTTGCGAATGATCTTCTATGGTAATACACTCATGATACTTACATAGTATATTAGTCTTAAATCACACGCAACGTTTCTAGTCGTGAAAGTGTTAATTGGCAACTCGCGTTCTGTAATATGTCAGGCTGGTTTTTAATGAGTGTGATCAAAGACTCGCTCGTAGGGTAAGGGAGTCACAGGATGGTACACGACCGTCCAAACATTTATTTCACACCTCTCTCCTTTAACAGATGCAAGCGCTAAGTTTCTTTTTCCAATTTTTACTTTTCAAAAATTAAACAGAACAATATTTGTGAATAATTTGAGAAATGTAATATGATGATGTAATGAATAAAAAAAAAAAATTTGAAAATTTGATCCAAAACTGACGTAGCTTCATCGCTAATTTTAAAATGTCCACAAAATTTGCTTGCCATATCTTTATTTCATTACTCATTCCTTATCTAAAAAGATTTACTTTGCGTTTGATGAATTAAGACAGCCTTTTGTTTTAACACCTGTCCTGTACATTAGCTTTTTAGTAATTGAATAATATATTGGAGGCTTACGAGCTGATTGGGATTATTTCTCAAATTGTTTCATCTTTGACACGGCAGGAAAGAAATCAAAATTATCTTTCAACTGCAATCACTGATCGAGAAGGTAAGGTTTACCATCAAACTTTTTGTTTCGCCAGCGGAAGAGCGTGGACATATTAAGTGTCAAATGTCGTAAATCGTTCGCTTCAATTTGACAGACACAACAGAAGTTTTTCGATGAAATCGTTTTCAGTTGATCCGAAAAAAAACTCAAGTCTAATTTTCCCCTTTAAACATGAGCGCTGCACAGATTTTCCAATCCTTTACCCAGAACTAATCATATATTTCTCTCTACAGAAAAACAAGACTTTCGTTTAACTGAGCCACGATGGTAAATGATAGGACGCAAAATATTTTGTCGGGGGTTTTCTTTCTTTTAATGATCTTAAATTTGATTCCAAACTTGCTAGTAGTACTTGCTTTGATTCGCTCGAAGTTCAAGACTTCAATCAACTACCTTTTCCTCAACTTAGCACTGGCCGACATTCTGGTGGCAACATCTCTGATCCCTCAATATGTGCTTCGTCCTGTATATACCCACCCTGATGGATGGGCTGGAACCTTGCTTTGTAAGCTGTTTACCGGGGGGTTCACTATGTGGGTTGGAGGGTGTACTGCTACTGTCATGCATGTTGTGATCGCCATCGAACGCTTCTATGCCACTCGAACTGGCAACATTGCACGAAAATTATCAAAGAGAAAACTAATAATGGTTATTGTATGTGGTTGGATTTTTGCCATTCTTTCCGAGATTCCTCCAATGACCGTAATGATTTATGACAAAAATCATTCATCATGCTTTGAAAACTGGTCTAAACTTGTATATGGCAAGATTTACACTGTCTTTACCTTCGTTGTGGACTTTTCAGCTCCTCTTGTCCTGATGGCTGTTCTATACGCCAAGACTGTGAAAACTCTTTGGGGCCCATCTATAATTTCGGGCACTTCATTAGTCGTAATCAAATCACGCAAGCGAATCACGAAAATTGCAGTAACAGTGACGGTGCTTCACGCATTGTGTTGGCTTCCTGATGTGACTTCATACTTGCTTGCCTATCACGTTCCTGGCTTGGTGGAATATGGGTCCATTATTTACCACGCCTGTGTGATACCTGTTGGTTTAAGCTCGTGTTTGAATCCGATCATTTACACTCTTCAAAGTCAAAGATTCAGGCAGGAGTTGCGAATGTATATTTGCTGCTGGTTACCGACGAATAAAGTATCAATTGCTGACTATACCGTTGAGAGAAAAATTTCACAACCCTGAGAAATGCGATTGGGCGAGTTTTTTACCCACGTTCTTGTTCGTTAACGAGTTTGCTTCAATATTTACAAATTTAGCCATACCTGAAGTGATTGATAGGTTTATTTGTTTTCACTGCCTCTTTTTGTCCGAATTTCCCACAATACAAGTTCCCGCGCTAAAAAATTCGGTTTTTAATTCGGACTGACTTACGGTAATCACGCGTTACAACCTACTTTCATAGCTTGCTGAGTTGCCATATTTCCGAGGTAATGGGTCTCCGCTTTGCGCGCAGGGAGTACTACTTTTACCATAAAGTGAAAGCTTGCGCTGTAAGATAAAAAGTATTGAAAACTATACTTTTTATATTACACTATGGAGCCATAAAAGTGATGCTGGGAGAGCCATGATAATCCATGTTACGCAAGAAAAAGCAGCACCTTTTCTGCGGCGTGCAACGGTATATGTGATTTCATAAAATGTAGAGATTGTCAACACTACACAATCATAAAAGACTTAATGTATAAACTAAAGAGGAAAGAAGCTTTTATTTTGCAAAACATTGATCTAAATTCTACAAAACATCAATCAAATTGACATGTCGTTAGACTTTAAATCACCTCTGACACCAGTGGTCAATCCCCAATCTCACAGGAGATTGGTCAAATTTTGCCCAAAATTCCCAAAATAATTCAGGAGCTGACAGCTTTCTAACCCTGACAGCAAGACTACACAAAAATAAACCTAACTATTAAGATTATGGAAATATGGGCACTGTTGCACCCTGTGCAAAATCTATAACAGGTATATTTTATTTAATCAACATTTGGATGGTTTCCATCTAAGATTTCAAGGGAATATCTAAATATTTTAATGTATCAAAATCTAGTTTTTACTACATTCAGTCACCAGCAATTTTTAAATAAGATTTGTCTAACTTAAAAAAAGGTCTACTTTAAACCTAGAGAGGCCTAAATATTTACGTTTGAGTTTCAGAATGAACCTGTAGTAGGGAAATGTAGCTCCTGGTTGCTTTTTGAGAGGCCTAAATATTTACTTTCAAGTTTCAGAATGAACCTGTGGTAGGGAAAGGCAGCTCCTGGTTGCTTTTTAACAAACACATTTAAAACACTAAGAGAAACTGAGGCCCAATGGATATCCTCATTTTAAATATTTTAGTTTGTGAAGTTAGATGTAGAATATTTACCTCATATGGTACATCACCTCATGTGGTTATCCTGATTATGTTATCTGCCTTTTGCCTTTAGCATTTTGACTCATCTAGCCCACAAAATTTTGTTAGCTTCAGAAATAATCTTTTCTCAATATTTATTCAATGAAACAACTTTAACAACATGTAGAACCTATTTGGTAAAGTGCTCATGGTCTCATGATTTTCTATAATATAATCATACCCCCCTCTCCCCCCCCCCCTAGAAATTGCATGTGATTCACTAAGATTAAATATGAATGCATTGGGGTAAAGTATAGATTTATGTATTTCCAGTAACTGTATAATGTGCATATGTCTTTTTTGTTATAGTATAATGTGTTTATTTAGTATTTATTTGCAGTGTAGTGTATTTTGCTTCCTTAACACATTAGTCTCTGTCTGTTAGTGAGGATTAACTCTAGTTGTAACTTCTCTCAGTGGGAAGTATTTTTGCATTAAATTAATTAAATTAATTATCTAATTCACAATGTCATTCTTTTAATTTAATGAATAATACATGCACAAACTAGACTAAGTCAAAGCCAATGAAGAAAGTATACCCCCCACCCAACCTGGAGCAAGTTTTGCCAAAATGAAACAAGGAACTGGATTCATTGCATCACAACCTATACCAATTTGAATATAAGGGGAAAAAATTTCCTTCATCCAGTCAAAGAAAGCATGAGCTTTCTTCACATCAACATCATATGATGTACTCAAAGACTTCCAACGAACACAGCCTCCATCTTCCTCATCATCACTACTTTCATCACCACTTTCCTTGTCTTCACCTTCACCCCTCACCAGTGGGTTCTCTTGCATCTCAGGATTGAAACCATAAAGTGAAATTATATCTGTAGCTGTGGGGAGGGAATCTTTATCCCAAGGAAATAAGCATGTTTCTATCAATCCAGAGCCTTCATTTGCCCAAGCACCTATTACAGAAAAAGCATAACTTATTGAATAAGACAACTTTCACTGCTCATTTTCTATAAAGAAAAAGTTAAAACAAAAAGCAAAGCAGCCATAACAATTTGACTAACACTTCAGCAAGAAAAGATCCACATTAAAAAAATCACAAATGGTGTGATATTTACAAATGAAAGGGACACAAGTT